CCCTGCCATCCAGGACCTCTATACCAGGCGGTGTCAGAGGAAGGCCCTCAAAATTGTCAAAGACTCCAGCCACCCTAGTCATAGACTGTTCTCTCTGCTACCGCACGGCAAGCGGTACCGGAGTGCCAAGTCTAGGTCCAAAAGACTTCTCAACAGCTTCTACCCCCAAGCCATAAGACTCCTGAACAGCTAATCATGGCTACCCGGACTATTTGCACTGCCCCCCCACCCCATCCTTTTTACGCTGCTGCTACTCTGTTAAGTATTTATGCATAGTCACTTTAACTCTACCTACATGTACATATTACCTCAACTACCTCAACTAGCCGGTGCCCCCGCACATTGACTCTGCAACGGTACCCCCCTGTATATATAGCCTCCCTACTGTCACTTTATTTTACTGTATATATAGCCTCCCTACTGTCACTTTATTTTACTTCTGCTCTTTTTTTCTCAACACTTTTTTTGTTGTTGTTTTATTCTTACTTTTTTTGTTTAAAATAAATGCACTGTTGGTTAAGGGCTGTAAGTAAGCATTTCACTGTAATGTCTGCACCTGTTGTATTCGGCGCATGTGACCAATAAAATTTGATTTGATTTGATAAAAACTTTATTGACCTGGAATTAGTACTGAATGCAGATAAAACTAAGTATATGTTGTTCTCTAGAGCGCATAAAAATAAGTCTGATGATATAAGCGTATGTACTTTGGATGGTGTCCATATTGATCGTGTCCCTGCTTACAAATATCTGGGCATCTGGATAGACGAAAAGCTGTCTTTTAAAAAGCATATTGAAGAAGTTAAGAAGCTGAGAATAAAAATGGGCCTCTTCAATAGAAATATGTCCTGCCTTTCGCTAAATAGTAGAAAGCAGATTATTCAGTCGACGTTCCTATCGGTCCTAGACTATGGCGACATCTATATGAACGCAGCTGCCACTTCATTAAAGCTGTTTATCATAGTGCACTGCGCTTTATGACAGGCGACAATTTTTGTACTCACCACTGCATTTTCTACCAGAAAGTTGGTTGGCCCTCTTTGATGTCACATAGGTTGATACATTGCTATGTTTTCATTTATAAAGCCCTTTTACAAAAAGTCCCACTGTACCTAACATCATTACTAAACTTTAGACATACGAGTTACCACACCCGGTCTCAGGGATGGCTAACTCTAGAAATTCCTTCGGTCTCCACTGAGTTAGGTAAATCAGCTTTTAGTTTTCTTGCACCTTACTTGTGGAACAATCTTCAAAATGTTCTTAAATTTGATGTGCTGGTGTCTCTAGGGCAATTCTGAAAGCTAATTGAGGACCTTATTACTGATTGTGTTTGTTTTTCTTTCTGCTTGCATTTTGCATTTATATTTTCATGTGTGTATTTTCTGTAATTCAGGGCTCATCTGTAAAAAGAGACCTTTGTCTCAGTATGACTCCCTGATAAAATAAGGTTAAATAAATATCCACAGATGCAGAGACGCGATAGTCCCGCGTCCCATTGTGACGTAGCTACACGGCTCTGAGACCACCATCCGCGGGGGATGCACAGCTCGACCGCACACCTCCACAAAATTCCCAACCAATGCGTCCCATGTACACGTCCTCTATTCATTTGAATGTGTTGACAGTTGGAGAAATTGCTTGATCCACGCTGATAATTGCAAAAGTATGAATGCCAATGGGCCAATATTCTAAAACACTGTTGTGCCTACACGTTTTGGACTCTGATCAGTGCTTTACAGTGATCAAGTTAACAAAAATCCCTTTATAATAACACATTCTATCATCGCGTTTGCCTAATGGCATACAGTTCAGCAGAAGTGTTTTTACGATTTACACACATGGGGGGGCTACATGAGAGGAGACGTAATTTAGGGCTACATGAGAGGAGACATTATCAGAATCTTTTTTTATACTACACAAATGACCAAAATGAGTGGCTACTCTGACACTGTCAAACAGATAATAAAAACAACCTGTGCCTGGTTTCCCAAAAGCATCTTAGACTAAGTTCATTGTTAGAGGATCCTATGGTTCTAAGATTAATTTAGCCTTAAGATGCTTCTGGGAAACCGGGCCTTGTTCTTGACCTGGCCCAGGGCCAACAAAAATAAAGGAGAAACACAGATTGTACAATATTAGGAGGAAATATATAAATATTATAGGCTACAGTAGGCTACTACATCAACTTTCCAGTGGCACTGACTCACCCGTACCAGTGATGGTCTCAAGATAGGCATGAGTTACTTAAAAACAGTGCTGTTCGTCAGAGTTGTTGAACAAAAAATAAATAAAGAGGTAGATTTTCCTGACAAATTTGTCTTCTCTTTTCAGCAGTAAGCATTTGCTTTCCAAACGTATTTCCCGCGATTGTATTTTGATATTTGCAAAAGCCCTTTAGCTATTCACTGACAGCACAAAGAGAACTAAAATCTATAGAAATAGAATCCATACAACGAAAGTGCCCATTCAAGTCAGGACTGACAGCCATTTAGAGCATACCCATGAGTTTTGTTGACGCTGAGAACGGAATGTATATATTTGAACGTTACTAATGTTTTCTTGTGGTTTTTATGGAAAGTTTTCTTAATGTTCAGAGAACAGGACTTTAAATTGATCCATGAGGAAACCTGCAGAAAACATAATGCTGAAGTACTGGAATTCCTACAGAAGAACGTTGTTTCTCAACATTCTCTGAACGTTCTGAGAACAGGACTTTAAAAAGAACCATGAGGAAACCTGTAGAAAACGTTATGGGAAGGTTGTATGCAAAATGGCCATAGGACAACCACGCTTTTAGCAAGCTCTAAGACACATATGGTTCTCGGAACGTTATATGCTAGCTGGGTTCTATGGATTATATTTCTATTGCCACAACACAACAAGCCGTTCAATATTTGGCAAGCGTACTGCCCAAATTAAGGCAGTGTTCAGACAGGAGTAATTATATAATTTTGGAAACATTATTTCATTTTCCTGTGGTTATGCGATTTGGAGAAGGTAATCTGATCCTAGATCTGTGGTTAGGGGCAACTTTTACCACAACTGTCACATGCAGTAAAAAGCCTGGTCCATTAGGTGGCAGCACTACCACCAACCCAGGGGAGAACGACTGCCCCCTCTCATTGAAGCCATGAAGTTCAAGGCCGTCCGGTGTACTGTAGGCTGTTGTTTCCAGAAAGCAGGATCCCCATTATAATGAATTGGAAAATGGCAATCTTCGTGGTCAATATTAGTGTAAATAAAAACATTTTTTGAATACAATGATGGTACCAATAATTGCTTCTATTACACCAGATGTATGTCCTTGAACCGATTATTTTAAAGTAGCACACAAAAGTAGTTATAAGGATAATTTAACAGCTAATGGCAGCCTGCAACTTGAGTTACTCAATGAGAGGGGGCAGCACTGAGCTAGCCTGCAACGTCACTTCCTGGACTAGCTCAAACTGTGCATGTTATGTCTACATAAAACTCGATGGCTTTGTGCATTCATATATAGTCAATGCTTCAACCACTTATCCCTGTGTATTTGCCTTACACCTGGACAACAGAACAATACAGCCCGACTCACACTGGACAAGCATGTCAGAGTATTCATTTAGCATGCTACATGACTTATCGAGTTACAGGTATGCTGTCACACATTCAGGGCCTGCTATCCTGCTAGCCTGATTTGATTACAGGGCTGATGATGGAGATTGGAACATGGCTTCCATTAAGGTAGTGGGGAAATGGATATAGGAAGAGACAAGGGAGGAGGGGAAGATACTGGGAGATGCTGGTGTTGTGTGTGTGTGTGTGTGTGTGTGTGTGTGTGTGTGTGTGTGTGTGTGTGTGTGTGTGTGCGCGTGCGTGTTGGGTAATAGCCTTTGTGCTGTGTGCACTTTGCTTGATTGGGCTTGCAGTGTGTGTGTGTGTGTATGCGTGTTACAAACATCCGCCGCTCCAGGTGATGAATGGCTCTGATCATGGGCCCTGACAGAGCGGAATGATCTAACATGGTGTGTGTGAGTGAGAGTGCATGCGTGTACACTCCCCCACAGCGGGAGGTATGTGTGGCTATTCGAGTCTTGCCCAGTGTGTGAAATACAATCAAAACAGGCCATTTCTAGACCCTAACAATAAGAAAGGCAATAATAGTGGCTGCTCTGGCTTTCACTCTGAAAAGCACCTTCCTTCAAAGATGGCCCTTTGATTGGCATGTTCAACGCTGGCTGCTCCTAGCAACCAAGGAGTAAGCTTCATTGAACAAACGGAGCTACGGTGATAGCAGGGAGAGAAGGGGGGTTCGAGCTTTAAGGTAGTGTGTGTATGTGTGTCTGCATGTAAAGCTGTAAGGGTGTGTTTTGGAATGTGTGTGTGTGTGTGTGTGTGTGTGTGTGTGCATGCCTAGAGATGTGAAGTGCATGTGTGTGTTCACGTATTCCCTATACCAGCCAGCGGACATGGAAGGGCACTGTTATCGTATCCAGTGGATTACAAGGCTGATGTAGTGCCACCAGCATTGGAAGCTCAAGGCTATGATCAGAGAGAAGCACACCTCTATTCTATTCACTTTCTTAATCCTGGCAGACACACAGCTGATCTCTATCTATCTGTATTAAAGAAATGGGCAGAGAAGACTAGCGCATGGATGGTGTGAGGGGCTTAGCGCTCTGATTTCGAATTGACCTCCCAGACCTCTTGGAGTTCAGGTAAAAGTCTTTGATAGTTTAGAATTGCACTTGGGGCTCTGTAAGTCCTCATTTGTCTACTTTCTCTTCTCATCCTCTCATTTTCTTGTCCTCTTATGCAGTACAGTACTTCACTCTCCGTCTTCACCTCCATTTGCCTTCCTTCCTCCTCTCCTCTCACTTTTCCTTTCTTGTACTCAACATTCTCTTTTCTCTCCCACTTCTCCACTTTTCCTCCTCTCAATACTCTTAAGTCCATTATTGTATTCTCCCCATCTCCAGGTTTATTTTGATCTCTATCACTGTGTGTATACAGTAGGACTCTCACAGACACACAGTGGCCCCTCCTCTAGGGCCACAGCTCAGAGTACAGACAGACAGCTCCCCAGAGGAAAACCCCAACAGACTGAGAAAGTCTCCAATTATTTTAGTAGTAGAGTAGAGACTTTCTTTCTCACACAGGAGACTTTCACTAAGGGGAGTACTAGTGTGCAACTGCCAACCCTTCAGAGTGACAGGCCCTCTCAGCTTTAGGACTGTTGTGTATGGGGACTCAGAAAAGCACCACTCATCCCAGGAGCCAAATATATACAGACAGACAAGGTATGAGGGAGATGGAGAGGAGGAAGAATGGGGCCAACAAGACAGAGGGGGGAGAGAGAGGGAAATGGGGGAGAGATACACTCCAACGAGAGGAGATCGAGAGAGAGAGATAGAGAGAGAGCGAGAGAGAGAACGATGGAGAGAGAGAGACACTCCAAAGAGAGGAGAGAGAGCAGTGAGTGGACAGAGCTGTGACTCAGCCTCCAACCTCTTCAATGATTCATGTGACTGACTGGTTCAGAGTGAATGCTACTGCGTACAGGAGAGAGACACACCGTCAACAAGTCTCAATCTCAATCCAAGCCTGAACCCTGCTCTGTGGTAGACCTGTTAGGGGCTGTGGCTTGTGTTTCCATAGGTGGACGAGGTCTCTTTTCGTGTCGAGAATTTAGGGCGTAAATATGGGTGCACCCTCACCCTGGCACTTGCCCCTGCCATGCAGCCAGTATAAATCTTAGAGGCCAATGTTGGGTGGTTGTTTGGGGCAAGTGTGTGTGCATGCGTGTGTTGTCCACTCACCTTGGCGGCTTGGCTCTTATCTCTACTACCACTCCCAGTGGAGCTGAGGGATCTCCTGCGCTGCTCCTGCTGCTCCTCCACCTCGGCCTTCAGGTGCTCAATGTGCACCAGGTAGGCCTGCTCTTGGGCCTCCCGCGTGCTCAGCCGCAGCTCCACTGCCTTCTTCTCCTTCTCCAGCAGGTAGAGCTGGGCCTTCAGCTCCGCCATCTCCTCCTGGGGGGGGGGGATACAAATAAAGGGTTAACAAGTGAATATAAACAAGCTACAAGTTATTCTAATCAAGGGGTGTTGTAACCACATGGAGGAAAGGGGAAAAGGGAGGGAGGAAAGAATGATACACACTGAGTATACCAAACATTAGGAACACCTTCAAGCTCATCACCGTGCACTTTCACCACCCTGTGAAGTTCATCATACCTCATTTCATCTGTAGCCTAATAAACTGCCCGTAGTGGGAGGACCACACAACATACCATCATGTGACTCCAAGTTTACTTCCATATGATGGTTATTATATCAATATTTCTCACATAATTCATTTTACAGACACAAAAAAGATCCCACCTTGTCTACCGTATTTTGTTTTGTCGACATTTGGAAAGTTTACATACACGTGCAGTTTCCATCAGGCCTGTTGTGACATTATTTATCCGACATGTACTTTACTCGCATAAAAAGGTTTGATGGAAACCTGGTTACTGACAGTGACTCAATTAGCCCATGCCTGATAACATTTTTTAGATTGGAAAGTTTGTCTAGCGGCCAGCTATCTAAACTTGTAGTAATCGTGGTTGAATTAACAACCGGGGGGGGGGCCCCCCCATTGGTTTTGTTAGTCACTCTCACTTAGATATCATATTAAAAACTAAAAAATGTCTCTCCGCCCCCTGGCAAAATGAGTAGAATTGCATGAAATTAGTTCTAAAATGTGTGTTCATACAAGTCTGTGTGTATGCTCCCACTCTCCCCGCACTCTCGCTCTCTCCCTCCCTCCCTCCCTCCCTCTCACCTTCATGGCCATGAGCTCCTGCATCAGCACGGCGTTCTCCAGGTCCAGACGGTGCGTGTCTCCCCGGGGCTTGACCTCAAGGCTGAGGGGGTCGACGTGAACGCTCTCTAGCTCCAGCATGGTCAGCTTAACCGCCGCACGGTCATTCTTCAGCTGCTGCACGTAGTCCTTCAGCCGCTGCTCGTCCTCCTTGGAGAAGTCTGTGTCGCACGAGCTGGTGGTGGAACTGGTGGTGCTGAGTACACACACACACAAAGATGGAGATGAGAGACCTCGTAAAATGATGCTCTGTTGGATGATAGCTAGCATCTAGAAAGTGGTCTTCATTTCCCCCTTAACAGTTAAGATCACGACCAGAGGCTAAACTCTTCCTAGATCTGTACCTTGCGAGTCTGACACAGGAAGAAAGGAAGTCACCAAATACTGTGTAGAAATCGTCCCAGAGACCAGAGACTTGTTTTTACTCTTTGCTATACACAGTGTCCTTGGGAGACGAAGATGATTTGATTTGAAGATGAAGTTAGAATACCTCATGATAAGCAACAGGCAATGTTCCCTCTAAGCTCCCCTGGACTGCCGCGCAGAATAAATATCAGCCCGCGCAGAGAAGCACGAGATTGAACTTCATTTAACTTTCTAGAGTTTTCCCTCTTAGTTAACACTTTCAACGTTTCCCTTTACTGTGGGAACTGTGATCGAATCAATGCAATATTAGCCACATATTAGTCAATGCAACATAACGAAACAAAACAAACTATGCAAGAGATTTTGTTGAAGGAGTAGGAATCTATTGCATTGACATGCACAACTCAGCCGTACTCTACACAGACCGGTGCGGCATAACCAAGATGCGCTTGTTTTGAGATCAAAGTGAGAGCTGCATGTAGCCACATGTGCACATTTGTTCATATCCTTTGCTAGTTAATGAGTAATTAGCCCAGTTATAGATAATTGTAGTCAGCAATGGGGGAGTGATTGCTTCCTACAATAGCACAAAACGTGTACATTTCTAGACATCTTTGAAAAGAGTCTGGTAAAGAGCTTTTTTTGTTTTGTCTTAAAGGGGCAGTGTTGTATTTTGAGACAGGCTTGAATAAGCTAAGTAGCCGATAAGCATCGGGTAGCATAATTTGTCTGATTCTCTGTAATAATGGTATGGGAATAATAACACATTATATTTTGTAAAGTGGTTTCTTGCATCAAACACCACAACATTTTCAGTCACCTGAAAATGGATAAACAGGTTAATGTCAAGCCCTGCATGTTTCTTTCTCCAAAAGTCATGGAATGTAGGCCTACATTGAACACGACACATTGGCTTCTATTGTAGGTTTGCATGATAGAACATCTATTTCCATGTTAAAATGTTATGGGATGCATTTAATCCATTGTTTTTGATGGTAGGCCACTCTTGTAGGCCTACATTATGATCAAATAGCCACAGCAGCCTACTTGACCACTGTCTGAAACTGTGACTTAATGCGGTACAGCCTCAGTGTTCACAGTGAACGCACGCTGGAAGTTGCACAGAATTTTCATAACGTTTAAGTTTGCGCTCAGCAAACCTGAAATTTCCTTAGTGCCGAAAAAAATTAGAGGGAACATTGGCTGCAGACCATCCTACTTACCAAGAGAGTTTTTATCTATATTTTTCATGGCTGACTATTTACCACTAGAAACCGATGCTGGCACTAAGAGCGCACTCAACAAGCTGTATAGGACCATAAGCAAACAAGGAAACGCACACCCAAAGGAGGCGTTTCTCGTGGCCGGTGAATTTAATGCAGGGGAACTGAAATCAGTTTTATCTACATTTTATATCAGCATGTCACCTGTGCAACTAGAAGCGACACATTTCTAGATTCCCCTTTAATCCACACACAGAAACGCATACAAGGCTCTCCCTCGCCCTCCCTTTGGCAAATCTGACCATAACTCTATCCTCTTGATTCCTGCTTACAAGCAAAAACTCAAAACAGGAAGTACCAGCTCAATACGGAAGTGACCCGATGAAGCGGATACTAAGCTACAGGACTGTTTCACTAGTATAGACTGGAATATGTTCCGGGATTCATCCGATTACATTGAGGAGTTTACCACATCAGTCACTTCTTTAATACGTGCATCGACGACGTCGTCCCCACAGTGACCGTAAGTAAATAATATCCCAACCAAAAGCCATGGATTACAGGCAACATCCACACTGAGCTAAAGGCTAGAGCTGCCGCTTTCAAGGAGAGGGACACTAATCAGCAAGCTTATAAGAAATCCCGCTTCTACCTCTGACGAGCCATCAAACAGGCAAAGAGTCAACACAGGACTAAGATCGAATCCTACTATGCCGACTCTGATGCTTGTCGGATGTGGCAGGGCTTGCAAACTATCAAGGATTACAAAAGGGAAACACAGCCGCGAACTGCCCAGTGACGCGAACCTACCAGACGAGCTACAGTGTATTTGGAAAGTATTCAGACCCCTTGACTTTTTCCACATTTTGTTACGTTATAGCCCTATTCTAAAATTGATTACATTGCTTTTTTCCCCTCATCAATCTACACACAATACCCCATAATGACAAAGCAAAAACAGGTTGTTTTTTTTAATGAAGAAAATCACATTTACATAAGTATTCAGACCCTTTACTCAGTAATTTGTTGAAGCACCTTTGGCAGCGATTACAGCCTTGAGTTTTCTTTGGTATGACGCTACAAGCTTGGCACACCTGTATTTGGGGAGTTTCTCCCATTCTTCTCTGCAGATCCTCTGTCAGGTTGGATGGGGAGCATCACTGCACAGCTATTTCCAGGTCTCTCCAGAGATGTTCGATCGAGTTCAAGTCCGGTCTCTGGCTGGGCCACTCAAGGACAGTCAGAGACGTGTCCCGAAGCCACTCCTGCGTTGTCTTGGCTGTGTGCTTAGGGTCGTTGTCCTGTTGGAAGGTGAACCTTCGCCCCAGTCTGAGGTCCTGAGCACTCTGGAGCAGGTTATTATCAAGGATTTATTTGTACTTTGCTCCGTTCATCTTCCCTTGATCCTGACTATTCTCCCAGTCCCTGCCGCTGAAAAACACCCCCACAGCATGATGCTGCCACCATCATGCTTCACCGTAGGGATGGTGCCAGGTTTCCTCCAGACATGACGCTTGGCATTCAGGCCAAAGAGTTCAATCTTGGTTTCATCAGACCAGAGAATCTTGTTTCTCATGGTCTGAGAGTCCTTTAAGTGCCTTTTGGCAAACGCCAAGCGGGCTGTCATGTGCCTTTTACTGAGGAGTGGCTTCCATCTGGCCACTCTACCATAAAGGCCTGATTGGTGGAGTGCTGCAGAGATGGCTGTCCTTCTGGAAGGTTCTCCCATCTCCACTGAGGAACTCTGGAGCTCTGTCAGAGTGACCATCGGGTTCTTGGTCACCTCCCTGAACAAGGCCCTTCTCCCCCGATTACTCAGTTTGGCCATGTGGCCAGCTCTAGGAAGAGTCTTGGTGGTTCCAAACTTCTTCCATTTAAGAGTGATGGAGGCCACTGTGTTCCTGAGGACCTTCAATGCTGCAGAAATGGTTTGGTAACCTTCCCCAGATCTGTGCCTCGACACAATCCTGTCTCGGAGCTCTGCGGACAATTCCTTCGACCTCATGGCTTGGTTTTTGCTCTGACATGCACTGTCAACTGTGGGACCTTATATAGACAGGTGTGTGCCTTCCCAAATCATGTCCAATCAATTGAATTTACCACAGGTGGACTCCAATCAAGTTGTAGAAACATCTCAAGGCTGATCAATGGAAACAGGATGCACCTGAGCACAATTTCGAGTCTCATAGCAAAGGGTCTGAATACATATGTAAATATGGTATTTCTGTTTTCGCTTTGTAATTATGGGGTATTGTGTGTAGATTGATTTAGAATAAGACTGTAACGTATCAAAATGTGGAAAAAGTCAAGGGGTCTGAATACTTTCCGAATGCACTGTAAATGCCTTCTATGCTCGCTTCTAGGCAAGCAAAACTGAACCATGCATGAGAGCCCCAGATGTTCTGGACGACTGTCTGATCTCGCTCTCCGTAGCCGGATGTGAGTAAGACCTTTAAGCAGGTTAACATTTACAAGGCCGCGCGGCCAGACGGATTACCAGGACGAGTACTCAGAGCATGCGCTGACCGGCTGACATTTTCAACCTCTCCCTGACCCAGTCTGTAATACCTGCATGTTTCAAGCAGACCATCGTAGTCCCTGTGCCCAAGAACGCCAAGGTAACCTGTCTAAATGACTTCTAGAATTCTGGAAAATATAAAAATAATTGTATGGGGTCCCTTAGGGTTATTTATTAACCATTATTTTACCAGGTATTATGAAAGAAAGCACATCTCTTTCATACCAAGGACACGGAGAAGAGCTGCAGGGTAGATGATAATTATGTGCCTATTTGAAAGCTATAAAAAAAAAAATGTAAGAGTAGCTCGTGACGTTTAATCTTTTAGAAAGTAGCTCTCATGCTAGAAAAGGTTGGAGACCACTGCTCTAGAGTGTACTTGCATCCACAGCAGAGCACTGTGGACTCTCTCTCATCTCCTACACTAATTGCCAATTGTCTGTTATGCCTCTGACTTACATGTGAGCCGCATATGAATGTCATGTCTTTTTCTCCCAGAGCAGTGACTGTAGATGAAAGCTTTGTTTAGGGAGCGGCTTCCTTGCCTGAACTGTCATGGGCACTTGAGCAGAGGGTTGGCTTTAATTATGTTTCAATATGGATTGACATTTCAATAATTAACTAGAAAGATCCTAATAGAAAAGAAACAGGAACACGTGTGAATTGAACACATTGCATGACATGGGATATTCACCAATGTGCAGACATTCTCAAACAAGAACAAACAGTTAGAAGACACTCCACACACACACACCAAAAGTATGTGGACACCTGCTCGACGAACATCTAATTTAAAAATCATGGCCATTAATATGGAGTTGGTCCCCCCTTTGCTGCTATAACAGCTTCCACTCTTCTGGGAAGGCTTTCCACTAGATGTTGGAACATTGCTGCAGGGACTTGCTTCCATTCAGCCACAAGAGCATTAGTGAGGTCGGGCACTGATGTTGGCCGATTAGGCCTGGCTCCCAGTCAGCATTCCAATTCATCCCAAAGGTGTTTGATGGGGTTGAGGTCAGGGCTCTGTGCAGGCCAGTCAAGTTCTTCCACACTGATCTCGACAAACCATTTCTGTATGGACCTCGCTTTGTGCACGGGGGCATTGTCATGCTGAAACAGGAAAGGGTCTTCTCCAAACTGTTGCCAGAAAGTTGAAAGGACAAAATCATCTAGAATGTCATTGTATGCTGTAGTGTTAAGATTTCCCTTCACTGGAACTAAGGGGCTAGTCTGAACCATTAAAAACAGCCCCAGACCATTATTCCTCCTCCACCAAACTTTACAGTTGGCACTATGCATTCAGGCAGGTAGCGTTCTTCTGGCATCCGCCAAACCCAGATTCGTTTCCACTGTTCCAGAGTCCAATGGTGGCAAACTTTACACCACTCCAGTCGACGCTTGGCATTGTGCATGGTGATCTTAGGCTTGTGTGCGGCTGCTCGACCATAGAAACCCATTTCATGAAGCTCCCGACGAACAGTTATTGTTCTGACGTTGCTTCCAGAGGCAGTTTGGAACTTGGTAGTGAGTGTTGCAACCTAGGACAGACCATTTTTACGTGCTTCAGCACGGTCCTGTTCTGTGAGCTTGTGTGGCCTACCACTTCGCGGCTGAGCCGTTGTTGCTCCTAGATGTTTCCACTTCACAATAACAGCACTTACAGTTGACCAGGGCAGCTCTAGCAGGGCAGAAATGTGCCACGTTGAAATTAACTGAGCTCTTCAGTAAGCCCATTCTACTGCCAATGTTTGTTTATGTCGATTGCATGGCTGTGTGCTCAATTTTATCCACCTGTCAGCAATGGGTGTGGCAGAAATAGCCGAATCCACTAATTTGAAGGGGTGTCCACATACTTTTGTATATATAGTGTACAGTGGGGAGAACAAGAATTTGATACACTGCCAATTTTGCAGGTTTTCCTACTTACAAAGCATGTAGAGGTCTGTAATTTTTATCATAGGTACACTTCAACTGTGAGAGACGGAATCTAAAACAAAAATCCAGAAAATCACATTGTATGATTTTTAAATAATTAATTTGCATTTTATTGCATGACATAAGTATCACCTACCAACCAGTAAGAATTCCGGCTCTCACAGACCTGTTAGTTTTTCTTTAAGAAGCCCTCCTGTTCTCCACTCAATACCTGTATTAACTGCACCTGTTTGAACTCATTACCTGTATAAAAGACACCTGTCCACACACTCAATCAAAACAGACTCCAACCTCTCCACAATGGCCAAAACCAGAGAGCTGTGTAAGGACATCAGGGATAAAATTGTAGACCTGCACAAGGCTGGGATGGGCTACAGGACAATAGGCAAGCAGCTTGATCAGAAGGCAACAACTGTTGGCGCAATTATTAGAAAATGGAAGAAGTTCAAGATGACGGTCAATCACCCTCGGTCTGGGGCTCCATGCAAGATCTCACCTCGTGGGGCATCAATGATCATGAGGAAGGTGAGGGATCAGTCCAGAACTACACAGCAGGACCTGGTCAATGACCTGAAGAGAGCTGGGACCACAGTCTCAAAGAAATCCTTTAGTAACACACTACGCCGTCATGGATTAAAATCCTGCAGCGCACGCAAGGTCCCCCTGCCAAGCCAGCGCATTTCCAGGCCCATCTGAAGTTTGCCAATGACCATCTGGATGATCCAGAGGAGGAATGGGAGAAGGTCATGTGGTCTGATGAGACAAAAATAGAGCTTTTTGGTCTAAACTCCACTCGCCGTGTTTGGAGGAAGAAGAAGGATGAGTACAACCCCAAGAACACCATCCCAACCGTGAAGCATGGAGGTGGAAACATCATTCTTTGGGGATGCTTTTCTGCAAAGGGGACAGGACGACTGCACCGTATTGAGGGGAGGATGGATGGGGCCATGTATCGCGAGATCTTGGCCAACAACCTCCTTCCCTCAGTAAGAGCATTGAAGATGGGTCGTGGCTGGGTCTTCAAGCATGACAACGACCCGAAACACACAGCCAGGGCAACTAAGGAGTGGCTCCGTAAGAAGCATCTCAAGGTCCTGGAGTAGTCTAGCCAGTCTCCAGACCTGAACCCAATAGAAAATCTTTGGAGGGAGCTGAAAGTCTGTATTGCCCAGCGACAGCCCCGAAACCTGAAGGATCTGGAGAAGGTCTGTATGGAGGAGTGGGCCAAAATCCCTGCTGCAGTGTGTGCAAACCTGGTCAAGACCTACAGGAAATGTATGATCTCTGTAATTGCAAACAAAGGTTTCTGTACCAAATATTAAGTTCTGCTTTTCTGATGTATCAAATACTTATGTCATGCAATAAAATGCAAATTAATTACTTAAAAATCATACATCTAAATCTACATGATTTGTAAGTAGGAAAACCTGCAAAATCGGCAGTGTATCAAATACTTGTTCTCCCCACTGTATATACACCAGTGGAGGCTCATCAGAGGAAGAAGGGGAGGACCATCCTCCTCAGTGAATTTCATAAAAATAGTGAAGCATTAAAAAAGTTAACCTTTTTAGATAAAACTATACTAAATATATTCACGTCACCAAATAATTGATTAGAACACACTGTTTTGCAATGAAGGTCTACAGTAGCCTCAACAGCGCTCTGTAGGGTACCACCGTGATGTAGCCAGAGGACAGGTTCATGGTTCTCACCCCTTCCATAGACTTACACAGTAATTACGACAACTTCCGGAGGACATCCTCCAACCTATCAGAGCTCTTGCAGCATGAACTGACATGTTGTCCACCCAATCAAAGGATTAGAGAATGAATCTAGTACTGAAAGCATAAGCTATAGCGGTTCCCAAACTGTGGGGGGCACGAGGGGTCGGGGGGGGGGGGCACAGGAGTATTATGTAGTAGCCTAAACCTATCGATGTTACATTGAGCTGGGTGAATGAAATATGAATGACAGTCATCCAATATGCTGTAACAGAAATAAGGCCATGCTTATAAAAATAAAAATAAATCCTCCCTCATCTTAAACGGCACCGACCACCACTGATATACACACACCTAGTGTGACTATTGGAGGACAGGCTCTCCCATGGTTGAACGCTGCAGCCAGTCACAGCGAATGCCGCTCCACAGCTACCGTCCAGCCTGCCCAGAAGATCCTTGGCTGCGTTCTCTGCGGTCTTCCTGCAGTCGTGGGCCCTCTTCAGGATCTGAGTGATGCTCTCCTCTCCCGACTTCTCACCTATACACACACACAGGCACACACAGACGGACACACAGTAGAAAGAGAGATGTCAAAAAGCTTTTATTTGCTGGAGTCATCGTAACTGCCAGGGCTATCACAAGGCCAACATGTGGTGATGAATGTACTATATCTAAAAACACAATGATATATGCCATATTAACAATAATTGAATGAAGTATTCAAACTGAAAATGTACTGTACACATATGGCTACACAAGGCTGCAAATACTATATGTAAAGTTAGTCAGCATTAGATGAATAAGGGGATGTTCTTATGACAGACTGTTTATTTGTTGAAGGGGAAAAGGTTAGGAGGGAGGTATGTGAGACAAGGGAGTCGTGATGCATGAAATTCCTCACTGAAGACATGACAGCTGAAGGAGTGAGGGAGAAGAGTTGGGTAAGGATGGAATCAACTGAGTCGGAGAATAAAATTTCATTTTTTTGTCAGGGGGTAGATCAGCTTTAAAATTGCAGATAGATTGTGGCTTCCATCAATGTAATTGTCCGCATCATTTCCAATCCCCCATATATTTTTTGGGTAAATATATACAGTACCAGTCAAAAGTTTGGACACACCTAATCTTTCAAGGGTTTTTCTTAATTTTTACTATTTTCTACTTTGTATAATAGTAGTGAATACATCAAAACTATGAAATAACACATATGGAATCATGTAGTAACCAAAAAAGTGTTAAACAAATCAAAATATATTTTATATTTGAGTTTCTTCAAAGTAGGCACAGCTTTGCACACTCCTGGCACTCTCTCAACCATTATCATGAGGAAGTCACCTGGAATGCATTTCAATTAACAGGTGTGGAATTTATTTCCTTCTTAATCCGTTTGAGCCAATCAGTTGTGTTGTGACAAGGTAGGGGTGGTATACAGAAGATAGCCCTATTTGGTAAAAGACCAAGTTCATATTATGGCAAGAACAGCTCAAATAAGCACAGAGAAACAGTCCATCATTACTTTAAGACATGAAGGTCAGTCAATCCGGAACATTTCAAGAACTTTCAAAGTTTCTTCAAGTGCAGACGCAAAAACCATCAAGCGCTATGATGAAACTGTCTCTCATGAGGACCACCACATGAATGGATGACCCAGAGTTACCTCTGCTGCAGAGGATAAGTTCATTAGAGTTACCAGCCTCAAATTGCAGCCCAAATAAATGCTTGAGAGTTCAAGTAACAGACACATCTCACATCAACTGTTCAGAGGAGACTGCATGAATCAGGCCTTCATGATCAATTGCTGCAAAGAAACTACTACTAAAAGACACCAATAATAATAAGAGACTTGCTTGGGCCAAGAAACACGAGCAATGGACATTAGACGGGTGGAAATCTGTCCTTTGGTCTGATGTGTCCAAATTAGGGATTTTTGGTTCCAACCGCCGTGTCTTTGTGAGACGCAGTGTAGGTGAACGGATGATCTCCGCATGTGTAGTTCCCTACGTGAAGCATGGAGGAGGAGTTGTTATGGTGTGGGGTGCTTTGCTGGTGACACTGTCTGTGATTTATTTAGATTTCAAGGCACACTTAACCAGCATGGCTACCCACAGCATTCTGCAGCGATACACCATCCCATCTGGTTTGGGCTTAGTGGAACTAACGTTTTTCAAAAGGACAATGACCCAAAACACCTTCAGGCTGTGTAAGGGCTATTTTACCAAGAAGGAGAGTGATGCATCAGATGACCTGGCCTCCACAATCACCCGAACTCGAACCAATTGAAATGTTTGGGATGAGTTGGACCTCAGAGTGAAGGAAAAGCAGCCAACAAGTGCTCAGCATGTGGGAACTCCTTCAAGACTGTTGGTAAAGCAATCCATGTGAAGCTGGAATGATGTCTTCACTATTATTCTACAAGGTAGAAAATAGTAAACAGCAATCCGACCATGAAGGCCTAATACATGCATTCTCCTCTGAACAGTTGATGTTGAGATGTCTGTTACTTGAACTCTGAACTTTTAACAAGGCACACCTGTTAATTGAAAAGCATTCCAGGTGACTACCTCATGAAGCTGGTTGAGAGAATGCCAAGGGTGTGCAAAGCTGTCATCAAGGCAAAGGGTGGCTACTTTGAAGAATCTCAAATATAAAATATATTTTGTCTAACACTTTTTTGGTTACTACATGATTCCATATGTGTTATTTCATAGTTTTGATGTCTTCACTATTGTTCTACAATGTAGAAAATAGTCAAAATAAAGAAAAACCCTGGAATGAGTAGGTGTGTCCAAACTTTTGACTGGTACTGTGTGTGTGTGTGTGTATATATATATATATATATATATATATATATATATATATATATATATATATATATATATATATATATATATATATATATATATATATATATATATATATATATACACACACACACACACACATACACACAGTGCCTTCGGAAAGTATTCAGACCCCTTGACTTTTCCCACATTTTGTTACAGCCTTATTCTAAAATGGATTAAATAAATAAAAATACCTCAGCAATCTACACACAATACCCCATAATGCCAAAGTGAAAACAGGTTTATATACATTTTTGCAAAATTATTAAAATAAAAAACTGAAATACCTTATTTACATAAGTATTCAGACCCTTTGCTATGAGACTCGAAGTTGAGCTCAGGTGCATCCTGTTTCCATTGATCATCCTTGAGATGTTTCTACAACTTGATTGGAGTGCACCTGTGGTAAATTCAATTGATTGGACATGATTTGGAAAGGCACATACCTTTCTATATAAGGTCCCACAGTAGACAGTTGTCATGACTCTCTCCTTGGTGAGGATCAAAGGTGCCAGATCAGCTTTGCAATTGGCTGACAGATAGCCATACCCCACCCCCCCCTTCTCTCCCACAGTAGAGGAGAAGGTGGAGTTGGGCCGGTTTTATGACTTAAAAGCCGGTCATAAATAGTTTTCAGAAAAGGACTCCTTTTGGTCTATAGTATGGAAAGAAAGAAATATCTTTGTTGCAGAGAGACTCTTGCCGCCTAAAAACTCTAATATCAAAAGATTGGACATTGAAACGTTGCTGTTGAGATCCAAATGTTTGGAACGGTCGGTGGGGATCTAAAGAATAATCGTGTCATATTGTTTATTGTTTTGGGATGTCATTAAGAATGGTATTACTAAATAACTATCTCTGAAAGTGTACACATTTCAGTTATCAGGTTTGCATATAAATGTTGTATAGAATATATGATTAAGTATGAGAATATGTTTGTAAGATAGCAATGTGATTTTAGCCTTCTAAATTAGATAATTGTTTTTCATATAAACTTTTGCCAGTCAGTAACCACGCCCAAGTCAGCACAGACATTGGATTGGCGTGATGGAACGCCCCTTTTTACCCGAGGATAAAAGCCTTGGGAACTGAATGTACATTTAGACCAGGAAGTGTGGAGCTGTGGCTACACGGCTTAAAATGGTTGACAGTCTACAGACCAGAAAACGTGAGACGGTAGTCCATACGTTTGAAATGGAGAAACTCTGAAACTCTCAATCTCTACACGAGAAGACCACGCACTAGACCTTATCATATCAGTCTGCAGCTGTACATGTAAAGTGTCTAGAACTTTCACTAAAGAGTTGTGAAGGACAATCCCTCTCCGACAACCGTTGGTACATCTGAAGTATCTATTCTAACGAACACTCCATTCGAAGACAAGCCGAGTCTCACCGAAGTGGTTTTTGAGAAAGTGATTCAACAGAGAGACGACGATCAAGGACAGCTATGCGTAACCAAGCAGTCATGCTATTGTTAGTCCAGTCAACTAGGGACCTGTTTTCATTGTATTACGTTAGTGGCGCAGTGGTCTAAGGCACTGCATCGCAGTGCTAACTGTGCCACTAGATCCTGGTTCGAATCCAGGCTCTGTCGCAGCCAGCCGCGACCGGGAGACTCATGGGCGGCGCACAAGTCGTCCAGGGTAGGGGAGGGAATGGCCGGCAGGGATGTAGCTCAGTTGATAGAGCATGGCGTTTGCAACGCCAGGGTTGTGGGTTCGATACCCACGGGGGGCCAGTATAAAAAAATATGTATTCACTAACTGTAAGTCGCTCTGGATAAGAGCGTCTGCTAAATGACTAAAATGTAATGTAAATGTAATCAGTAACCTATACAGTGTGCATGTTTGTATTCTGTGTTATTATTTAGTTAGTTAGTAAATAAATAATTAAGCCAATTTGTGTATTGCTGATTCATCAATAAGGTTAGGGTTATTGCAGGTTCAAGGACTATGAGACTGATGAGGTAATGATTTAATAAGTGACTGTTATTGATATATAACATATCTTCTAAGAGTTTATTTCGGGAGATGGTAACTCGTTAAACAACTTCTTCAGTGGTGCCGAAATTCCTAATGAGTTAATTGTTACATTATTCATTTAATCGAGTGACAATTAAACATTGTTAGTTGATTAGATAAATAACAGTCATCACATTAATGCAAGTCACGTAACGACACAGTGCATGTCAGAGCAAAAACTAAGCCATGAGGTCGAAGGAATTGTCCGTAGAGCTCCGAGACAGGATTGTGTCGAAGGAAACAAAAAAAAATTCTGCAACATTGAAAGTCCCCAAGAACACAGTGGCCTCCATTCTTAGATGGAAGAAGTTTGGAACCACCAATACTCTTCCTAGAGCTGGCCGCATGGCCAAACTGAGCAATCAGGGGAGAAGGGCGTTGGTCAGGGAGGTGACCAAGAACCCGATTGTCACTCTGACAGAGCTCCAGAGTTCCTCTGTGGAGATGGGAGAACCTTCCAGAAAGACAACCATCTCTGCAGCACTCTACCAATCAGGCCTTTATGGTCGAGTGGCCAGATGGAAGCCACTCCTCAGTAATAATAATATAATAACATGCCATTTAGCAGACGCTTTTTGGTGTATGGGTGGTCCCGGGGATCGAACCCACTACCTTGGCGTTACAAGCGCCGTGCTCTACCAGCTGAGCTACAGAGGACCATAAAAGGCACATGACAGCCCACTTGGAAAAAGGCACATGACAGCCCGCTTGGAGTTTGCCAAAAGGCACCTAAAGACACTCAGACCATGAGAAACAAGATTCTCTGGTCTGATGAAACCAAGATTGAACTCTTTGGGCTGAATGCCAAGTGTCACGTCTGGAGGAAACCTGGCACCATCCCTACGGTGAAGCATGATGGTGGCAGCATCATGCTGTGGGGATGTTTTTCAGCGGCAGGGACTGGGAGACTAGTCAGTGTCGAGGAAAGATGAACGGAGCAAAGTACATAGAGATCCTTGATAAAAACCTGCTCCAGAGCGGACCTCAGACTGGGGCGAAAGTTCACCTTCCAACAGGACAACGACCCTAAGCACACAGCCAAGACAACGCAGGAGTGGCTTCAGGACAAGTCTCTGAATGTCCTGGAGTGGCCCAGCCAGAGCCCGGATTTGAACCTGATCGAACATCTCTGGAGAGACCTGAAAATAGCTGTGCAGCAACACTCCCCATCCAACCTGACAGAGCTTGATAGGATCTGCAGAGAAGAATGGGAGGAACTCCCCAAATACAGGTGTGCCAAGCTTGTAGCTTCATAACCAAGAAGAATTGAGGCTGTAATCGCTGCCTTTGGTGCTTCAACAAATTACTGAGTAAAGGGTCTGAATACTTAAGTAAATTTGATATTTCAATTTTGCTTTGACATTATGGGACAGGTTCGACGGGTCTGACCTAGAGTATGTGGACAACTACAAATATCTAGGTGTCTGGTTAGACTGTAAACTCTCCTTCCAGACTCACATTAAGAATCTCCAATCCAAAGTTAAATCTAGAATCGGTTTCCTATTTCGCAACAAAGCCTCCTTCACTCATGCTGCCAAACATGCCCTCGTAAAACTGACTATCCTACCGATCCTTGACTTCGGCGATGTCATTTACAAAATAGCCTCCAACACTCTACTCAGCAAATTGGATGTAGTCTATCACAGTGCCATCCGTTTTGTCTCCAAAGCCCCATATAATACCCACCACTGTGACCTGTACGCTCTTGTTGGCTGGTCCTCACTACATATTCGTCGCCAAACGCACTGGCTCCAGGCCATCTATAAATCACTGCTAGGCAAATCCCCGCCTTATCTTAGCTCATTGGTCACCATAGCAACACCCACCCGTAGTCTGCGCTCCAGCGGGTATATCTCACTGGTCATCCCCAAAGCCAACACCTCCTTTGGCCGCAATTCCTTCCAGTTCTCTGCTGCCAATGACTGGAACAAATTGCAAAAATCTCTGAAGCTGGAGACACTTATCTCCCTCACTAACTTTAAGCATCAGTTGTCAGAGCACCTTACCGATCACTGCACCTGTACACAGCCCATCTGAAATTAGCCCGCCCAACTACCTCATCCCTATATTGTTATTTATTTTGCTCATTTGTACCCCAGTATCTCTATTTGCACATCATCTCTTGCACATATATCATTCCAGTGTTAATACTAATTGTAATTATTTTGCACTATAGCCTATTTTATTGCCTTACCTCCATAACTTGCTAAATTTGCACACTGTATATTATATGTATTTCTGTTGTATTTTTGACTTTGTTTTGTTTTACCCCATATGTAACTCTGTGTTGTTGTTTTTATCGCACTGCTTTGCTTTATCTTGGCCAGGTCGCAGTTGTAAATGAGAACTTGTTCTCAACTGGTTTACCTGGTTAAATAAAGGTGAAATAAAAAAATTAAAAAATGGGGTATTATTGTGTTTAGATTGTTGCAATTCTTCAGCCATTCCTGAACCTGCGACCAAAAACAAGCTACATATGGACAGTACCAAAACAAATGATCTAATGAGTGTCTATTCGCAGCAAAATCTGCAGAGCTGGGATGGTTGTAGCCCCCATATATAACAAATTATATTGGTTGCAAGAATTTTGTGTAATAATTTACATTGAAAAAATAAGTGTTGAATCCAGCTTTGTTTTGTGTATCAGTTCATAAACCATGTGCCATGGAATCGGTACATCGAAAATCTCTTCCCAATTATTTCCCCAATCTATATGGCACAGCTGTAAAAATTTTTAGTCCTTAAATGAAACTGTTGTACTTTTTTATTTATCATAATTTTCTTTAGCCAATTTTGATCTTTAATTAATTTTTTATTTTACCTTTATTTAACTAGGCAAGTCAGTTAAGAACAAATTCTTATTTCCAATGACGGCCTACACCGGCCAAACCTGGACGACGCTAGGCCAATTGTGTGCCGCCCTATGGGACTCCCAATCACGGCCGGTTGTGATACAGCCTGGAATCGAACCAGGGGGTCTGTAGTGACGCCTCAAGCACTGAGATGCAGTGCCTTAGACCGACAGACAATATCCTTACTTTCTCCCCCTTCCACTTGCCTCTTCCATTTCTGCGGTAATGCTGCAATTAGTTGGTTGTCATTTTGAGTAGAGCAGACATTTCCATATATTTTTGTTAGCTGCATGTGTGACTTAACTCCACCAGTCCTATTTATGATATCATTTACAAAGATTATACTTTTTATTTTACAGTGGGGGAAAAAAGTATTTAGTCAGCCACCAATTGTGCAAGTTCTCCCACTTAAAAAGATGAGAGAGGCCTGTAATTTTCATCATAGGTACACGTCAACTATGACAGACAAAATGAGAAGAAAATCACATTGTAGGATTTTTTATGAATTTATTTGCAAATTATGGTGGAAAATAAGTATTTGGTCAATAACAAAAGTTTCTCAATACTTTGTTATATACCCTTTGTTGGCAATGACACAGGTCAAACGTTTTCTATAAGTCCTTCACAAGGTTTTCACACACTGTTGCTGGTATTTTGGCCCATTCCTCCATGCAGATCTCCTCTAGAGCAGTGATGTTTTGGGGCTGTCGCTGGGCAACACAGACTTTCAACTCCCTCCAAAGATTTTCTATGGGGTTGAGATCTGGAGACTGGCTAGGCCACTCCAGGACCTTGAAATGCTTCTTACGAAGCCACTCCTTCGTTGCCCAGGCGGTGTGTTTGGGATCATTGTCATGCTGAAAGACCCAGCCACATTTCATCTTCAATGCCCTTGCTGATGGAAGGTGGTTTTCACTCAAATTCTCACGATGCATGGCCCCATTCATTCTTTCCTTTACACGGATCAGTCGTCCTGGTCCCTTTGCAGAAAAACAGCCCCAAAGCATGATGTTTCCACCCCCATGCTTCACAGTAGGTATGGTGTTCTTTGGATGCAACTCAGCATTCTTTGTCCTCCAAACACGACGAGTTGAGTTTTTACCAAAAAGTTATATTTTGGTTTCATCTGACCATATGACATTCTCCCAATCCTCTTCTGGATCATCCAAATGCGCTCTAGCAAACTTCAGACGGGCCTGGACATGTACTGGCTTAAGCAAGGGGACACGTCTGGCACTGCAGGATTTGAGTCCCTGGCGGCGTAGTGTGTTACTGATGGTAGGCTTTGTTACTTTGGTTCCAGCTCTCTGCAGGTCATTCACTAGGTCCCCCCGTGTGGTTCTGGGATTTTTGCTCACCGTTCTTGTGATCATTTTGACCCCACGGGGTGAGATCTTGCGTGGAGCCCCAGATCGAGGGAGATTATCAGTGGTCTTGTATGTCTGCCATTTCCTAATAATTGCTCCCACAGTTGATTTCTTCAAACCAAGCTGCTTAACTATTGCAGATGCAGTCTTCCCAGCCTGGTGCAGGTCTACAATTTTGTTTCTGGTGTCCTTTGACAGCTCTTTGGTCTTGGCCATAGTGGAGTTTGGAGTGTGACTGTTTGAGGTTGTGGACAGGTGTCTTTTATACTGATAACAAGTTCAAACAGGTGCCATTAATACAGGTAACGAGTGGAGGACAGAGGAGCCTCTTAAAGAAGAAGTTACAGGTCTGTGAGAGCCAGAAATCTTGCTTGTTTGTAGGTGACCAAATACTTATTTTCCACCATAATTTGCAAATAAATTCATTAAAAATCCTACAATGTGATTTTCAGGAAAAGAAATACTCAATTTGTCTGTCATAGTTGACGTGTACGTATGATGAAAATTACAGGCCTCTCTCATCTTTTGAAGTGGGAGAACTTGCACAATTGGTGGCTGACTAAATACTTTTTTCCCCCACTGTATTCCAAAAATATTTATTTTTTTAATCAATGATTGGTATATTTAAGTTTAACCATAATATTTGTTATAATATTTGTTCTGTCTTTTCTGGTGGATTAAACTGAAATTGCAACCAACTTTCTATGGCTTGTTTTAAAAATAGCGATATTTTGGAGATTATTTCATAACCTGAAAGTGAGAGGCATTTATATATAAATTCCAGTCGTAGTTTTTCAAAAGCCTTTAAGTCAGCTATGAATACCAGGCCTGGTTTCCCAGATTTTTCATAGTGTTCTATTGTTTCCAGTACTTGTCTTATATTATCTCCAATGTATCGTCCATGTAAAAAACCTGTCTGATTAGGATTAATAATATCCGACAATACCTTTTTAATTGTAAGCGCTATGCACTTTGCTAGAATTTTTGCAGCACAACACTGAAGTGTAAGGGGCCTCCAATGTTTTAAATGGATGTATCTTTATATTTATTTAGTTTGAGATTAAAGTTTGTGATGGGAGGATGAAGAAGTGAAGTGAAGAGAGAACAGAAGGAGTGATGGAGGTGAGGTTTGTAAAGGAATTAAATGAGTGAGAGTGTAGCAATTTATGAAAGAGTATATAATGAGTAATAGATTGAAAGTGTGTATTTTTGAGAGGTGGCCTCTTTGCTTTGATTGGTTGGAGTTCAACTGTGGGTCTCAATGTTGGAAGGAACAAATCCGCACTGATCAAAGAACAAACAAGCCTGTGTGGGCACGAAGAGTGTGTGTGGGTGTGTTACTCACCTACAGTCCCCACTCCTGCAGCTCTGAACTGGCCCAGTACCAGGCTCTGTTCACTCTCCGCCAGCGCCAACAGCAGTTCATAGGCCTCTATACACTGTTCACTGAGAGAAAGAACACACACACACGAGCCGACAAGGTGAAAAGTCTGTCGATGTGCCCTTGAGCAAGGCACTTAACCCTAATTTACTCCAGTGGCACCGTACTTCTATGGCTGACCCTGTAAAACAACACATTTCATTGCACCTATCCGGTGTATGTGACAATAAAACATATTATTTTGGTTAACAAACACACACTTATAAAGTATGTCATAGGCCCCTGATCACTGATTGACAAAGAACCCATAGACAAACATGTCAGCTAAACCTATTTGCACTACTCAACTACTGAATGATAACACACATTAACTCTCTCTTTCTCACAGACGCACACACTCTTAGTGGAGGAATGCAGAGGCCTCTCGCGTCCACTTATCTGTGCTGCACTTTCATCAAGCGTTCAAAAGGAACATGGCTGAGAGGTGCAGATTTCTATTTAACTACAGTCATTATAGCGTGTGTGGCGTGTCAACATCACCACCAGAATACACATACACTCCACAGTGTTCCACTCTGTTTTATTTTATGATTATAGTTTTAAATTACACACACACACACACACACACCCCAACTCTCTCGCGCACATGCGTGCACACACACTCTTCCCAAATGGCCCAATGGGATGGCCTCGCTGACATCACACTCGGTGGGGCTGAATTCAATCAAAGCGCTGACATCCGGGCTACAGGGGGAAGTATATACATTGAATGTGTGTGTGTAATGTACCTGGTGTGATATTAACAATGCATTTGAGGGCTATTCAAGTGTGTTGTGTACTCTGGTGTAATGGGCAAGACAAATAATTATATTTTATGGCTATAACGTTTCTATTTCGGTGTCTGTCATCTTTGTATCAGTTTACTCATCTGCTCATAGCTAAGCTTTGATGAGGCAACGTGAGTACTATCTTCCTGAGACATGCTATGTCAGAATGCTATGAGAAACACACGTAACATTACCACATCATGCCACCACAACATAACATTCACCCAATATCAACAGCTAAAAATGCTACTTATTTCCATTTGAGTTTGGCCTTTTGCAGAAAGTCTGCCTAAATCTTGCCATACAAGAAAAGGGTTGAAAACAGAACTTTTCTGCATCTCATAACATCACCACAGAATAAGCATGGTTGGATTATTAGCATTATGCTAATTATAAATACCACTCAGATTAGATGGGTTTTTCCTTTCATTTCTCATTTGCGTCAGCTTTGCTGAATGGGCACCTTCAGGGCACCTTATCAGAGAGGGCCCAAGGCTCGTACACAAACACACGGACCCCTTGATTGGCCAAGGGGATGAGAATACTAATGAGATGCAAATGAGAGCTAGCTAATGCAAATTTACAAAAGAGGACCTCAGCGAGAGCAGCCTAATTATAATTACCGGAAGAGGCTTCTAATGAGGTAGCATTAGCATGGCTCTGACGGTTACAGCTTGATAAGGTTTTTGTTAGCTAAGCAAGGCTCAAATTAAGCTTGGCCATAGAAGTGGATGAGGACATTTGGATTCAAGCATGAGTGTGGGAATGTGTGTAATATGTATTTTGCATGCGCCATTAGGTTAGGCCTTGCTTTGTGTGTGTGTGTGCGCGTGTGTGTACCTGTACTGCAGTGCCAGTCGTAGTGCGGTAGCGTTGGACTCATATTTGCCTACCAGCATGCTCATCCTCTCTGCGTTGCCCTTACACTCCTCCAACGTGATGGTTAACAGGTCGTTCTGAGACTTCAGGTGCTCGATGCGGCTGGAACACACACATTAGTCATCATTATCGGTTACATTTACTGTATAAAGTGTTATATCTCAAAGCACCTCAAATTGCAACTCACCCATCCACCAGCGATTTAAAGCACCCACCTGGGTGATTCACGGCAGTCATTTTGTGCCAGATCGCTCATCAGCTATTGCAGTAAAGGGAGCGTTGGGGGACAAACGGACGGTGCAACTATAGCCACCCTCCTCTCGCTTACTCAAATGGCCTTGGTTTTATGGGTAGATTATATGAGAGTAGCTAATGACACCTAACTAACCATCTAATTAAGGACGTCAATAATGCACTCAGGGCTTAATGAAGAGAAAAGAGGGTGTGTCCGCAGCCTAGTCGTTAGACATCCCATAAAAACATGGCCCAAATAACAACCTTTAAGCGATAGTGCACCCCAAAATCTAAGTTGTCACAGGTTACCGGGTGCCCATCTTTCCCCTTCATTTTGGATTGACTCACTTATGAGGTATGAAAATGGTTAGATTTTAAGGTGAACTATCCCTTTAAGTGTACTTATACATTTGGATAAGCCTAAAAAAGAGTGATCGTTATGTGTTCTTTGTTCGAAAATACAAACTGAACAATCACCGCGATCGTTACATTCGATTTGGCCTGAGAGACAGACCTACAGAACTGTTTAAGCAGTGTTTCACAACATTTAAAACCCATCTGCTTTAAATGTCTACTCAGTCTGAAGCGCTGACTGGAATGAAGTGATAAAACGCACAGTAATTACAACGGATTACGACTTAAGCCCTCCTACTGAGAACACTCAGATCTCCACATCTCACTTCCAACTAGTTAGTATTATGAGGAAACGTCATAACATCACTCACTAAGTCTGAAATCTCCCCAAAGATCCTAAAGTACACCGTTTGAAGAGTTACTACTTTATTTGATTGGAACAGACTTCTGAGGGGAGTTTTTCGAGGAAAAGAGGGAGTGGGAATAAAACTGGATTTATATAAATTCACTTGCATGTTAGAACACAAACATTGAACCTGTGCCTGAATCGGTTCATTCATTGGATCGGGCTAAGGCTGGGGCTTTCTTAAAGGGCCCTTTATGAAGACACGCTGGTGGAAAAGTACCTCTAGTGTGAATCTCTAGACCACAGTGTAGGCCAGGGGGATGTCAATACTACAGTTTACATTTTAAACATGGCATTTTCTATCCTACATCAATCCAAAGTAAATTTGTGTATATTTTTGAAGTAAACTTACATACAGTGCATTCGTAAAGTATTCAGACCCCTTGACTTTCCACTTTGTTACGTTACAGCCTTACTCAAATGGATTTCAAAACTAATAATAATCCTCATCAATCTTCACACAATATCCCATAATGACAAAGCAAAAACAGGTTTATAAAAAAAATTACAAAATTTAAACATCACATTTACATAAGTATTCAGACCCTATACTCAGTACTTTGTTGAAGCACCTTTAGCAGCGATTACAGCCTCAAGTCTTCTTCGGTATGACGCTACAAGCTTGGCACACCTGTATTTGGGGAGTTTCTCCCATTCTTCTCTGCAGATCCTCTCAAGCTCTGTCAGGTTGGATGGGGAGCGTCGCTGCACGGCTATTTTCAGGTCTCTCCAGAGATGTTAGATCGGGTTCAAGTCCGGGCTCTGGCTGGGCCACTCAAGGACATTCAGAGACATGTCCCGAAGCCACTCCTGCATTGTCTTGGATGTGTGCTTAGGGTCGTTGTCCTGTTGGAAAGTGAACCTTTGCCCCAGTCTGAGGTCCTGAGCATTCTTCAAGGATCTCTCTGTACTTTGCTCCGTTCATATTTGACTCGATCTTGACTAGTCTCCCAGTCCCTGCCGCTGAAAAACAGCTGCCATCACCATGCTTCACCGTAGGGATGGTGCCAGGTTTCCTCCAGATGTGATGCTTGGCATTCAGGTCAAAGAGTTCAATCTTGGTTTCATCAGACAAGAGAATCTTGTTTCTCATGGTTGAGAGCTCTTTAGGTGCATTTTGGCAAAATCAATGTGGGCTGTCATGTGCCTTTTACTGAGGAGTTGCTTCCATCTTGCCACTCTACCTTAAAGGCCAGATTGGTGGAGTGATGCAGAGATGGTTGTCCTTCTGGAAGGTTCTCCCATCTCCACAGAAGAACTCTGGAGCTTTGTCAGAGTGACCATCGGGTTTTTGGTCACCTCCCTGACCAAGGTGGTTCCAAACTTCTTCCATTTAAGAATGATGGAGGCCACTGTGTTCCTGGGGACCTTCAATGCTGCAGAACTGAATTTACCACAGGTGGACTCCAATCAAGTTGTAGAAACATCTCAAGGATGATCAATGGAAACAGGATGCACCTGAGCACAATTTTGAGTCTCATAGCAAAGGGTCTGAATACTTATGTAAATAAGGTATTTCTGTTTTCGCTTTGTCATTATGGGGTATTGTGTGTAGATTGATTTAGAATAAGGCTGTAACGTAACAAAATGTGGAAAAAGTCGAGGGGTCTGAATACTTTCCGAATGCACTGTAAATGCCTTCAATGCTCACTTCTAGGCAAGCAAAACTGAACCATGCATGAGAGCCCCAGTTGTTCCGGACGACTGTCTGATCTCGCTCTCAGTAGCCGATGTGAGTAAGAACTTTAAACAGGTTAACATTTACAAGGCCGCGCAGCCAGACGGATTACCAGGACGAGTACTCAGAGCATGCGCTGACCAGCTGGCAAGACCCTTCTCCCCTGATTGCTCAGTTTGGCCGGGCAGCCAGCTCTAGGAAGAGTCTTGGTGGTTCCAAGCTTCTTCCATTTAAGTATGATGGAGGCCACTGTGTTCTTGGGGGACTGTCAATGCTGCAGAAATGTTTTGGTACCCTTCCCCAGATCTGTGCATTGACACGATCCTGTCTCGGAGCTCTACGGACAATTCCTTCGACCGCATGTGCTGTACAATTAATCACTGTGGTTATAACTGCCACAAAATCCACCTTCTTCACAATGAGTGTATCCAGATCACCTGATTGACTTAGAACACTAGCAACTGGTTGAAATGCATCCACCGCCATATCTTCAACACGGTTGCCTCTTGCCCCTTCGACTCTCTTCACCGCCTCCACATAGGAGATACGCTGTGCAGCCCTGATCCTTGACGCCTCGTCCTCCTTCACCCTAACAGGGCACTCAAGGTAGTCCGGAGTATGATCCTCACCACAGTTGCAACATTTTCAATTCAGATTCTTCAATACCATACTTCTTCCATCTTCAAACATTTGACACGTGACCATATCCATTACAATTTCCACACTGTAATGGTTTGGACACAAATGCTCTCACCTCAAATACCAAGCTTCACATATTCAGGAAGAGTCTCCTCAAACAACAAAAACATCGACAGGCTTTTTCCCTTCCTTCCATTTACCATACAGGTCAGGCGACATGCACTGACCACTCCTGGGATTTTCTGACTAAGGTACTCATCATCTACACTACCAGTCAAATAAAATTTGAACACCTAGTCATTCCAGCGTTTTTCTTTATTTTTACTATTTTCTACATTGTAGAATAATAGTGAAGACATCAAAACTATGAAATAACACATTTGGAATCATGTAGTAACCAAAAACGTGTTAAACAAACCAAAATATATTTTATATTTGAAATTCTTCAAATAGCCACCCTTTGCATTGATGACAGCTTTGCACACTCTTGGCATTCTCTCAACCAGCTTCACCTGGAATGCTTTTCCAACAGTCTTGAAGGAGTTCCCACATATGCTCAGCACTTGTTGGCAGCTTTTCCTACACTCTGCGGTCCAACTCATCCCAAACCATCTCAATTTGGTTGAGGTCGGGGGATTGTGGAGGCCAGGTCATCTGATGCAGCACTCCATCACTCTCCTTCTTGGTCAAATAGCCCTTACACAGCCTGGAGGTGTGTTGGGTCATTGTCCTGTTGAAAACCAAATGATAAGCCCAAACTAGATGGGATGGCGTATAGCTGCAAAATGCTGTGGTAGCCATGCTGGTTAAGTGTGCCTTGAATTCTAAATAAATCACAGACAGTGTCACCAGCAAAGCACCCTCACACCATAACACCTCTTCCTCCATGCTTTACGGTGGGAAATACACATGCAGAGATCATCCGTTCCCCCACACCGCATCTCGCAAAGACACGGCGGTTGGAACCAAGAAACTCAAATTTGGACTCCAGACCAAAGGACAAATTTCCATTGCTCGTGTTTCTTGGCCCAAGCAAGTCGTTTCTTTGCGGCCATGAAGGCCTGATTCACAGTGTCACCTCTGAACAGTTGGTGTTGAGATGTGTCTGTTACTTGAACTCTGTGAAGCATTTATTTGGGCTGCAATTTTTGAGGCTGGTAGCTCTGATGAACTTATCCTCTGCAGCAGAGGTAACTCTAGGTCTTCCATTCCTGTGGCGGTCCTCATGAGAGCCAGTTTCATCATAGCAATTGATGGTTTTTGCGACTACACTTGAAGAAACTTTCAAAGTCATTGAAATGTTCCGGATTGACTGACTTTCATGTCTTAAAGTAATGATGGACTGCCGTTTCTCTTTGCTTATTTGAGCTGTTCTTGCCATAATATGGACTTGGTCTTTTACCAAATAGGACTATCTTCTGTATACCCCCCCTACCTTGTCACAACCCAACTGATTGGCTCAAACGTATTAAGGAAAGAAATTCCACAAAGTAACTTTTAAGAAAGCACACCTGTTAATTGAAATGCATTCCAGGTGACCACCTCATGAAGCTGGTTGAGAGAATGCCAAGAGTGTGCAAAACTGTCCTCAAGGCAAAGGGTGGCTATTTGAAGAATCTCAAATATAAAATATATTTTGATTTGTTTAACACATGATTCCGTATCTTATTTCATAGTTTTGATGTCGTCACTATTATTCTACAATGTAGAAAATAGTAAAAATAAAGAAAAACCCTTGAATGAATAGGTGTTCTAAAATGTTTGACCGGTAGTGTATATCCAACGAGACTCCAGCTATAACTCGTTTGGCAGGCGCCCTGCTCCGAAGATCAATACATTCTGACGTGGACAATTTTGCCAGATCCAGTGCACGCTTCTTCTGTTCTTCATCAACACAATTAACCAAAACAAGGTCGCATCTAGTCACCTTGATTGAATCCACCTTTCCCTCTGCTTTCTTCACAATCCTCGATATTACAAATGGATTTCCCAAATAAATCTCATTGTCCAAAAAACGCAGTCCAATAAGAAATGCATTATGGGACCGGTCCTCGTCTTTCCTCATTTTGTTCTATTCTTTGATTTCACTATGTTCCATTCATTATCACACACTTCACTTGCCGCACTTACAGATTCAAGCACAGTCGCCATTTCCTCCGTCCCAACCCTTGACCCTCGTTGATTTCGCAACTCGCATATTATGGTGATGGTTTTTGCTCTGACATGCACTGTCAACTGTGGGACCTTATATTAGACAGGTGTGTGCCTTTCCAAATCATGTCCAATCAATTGAATTTACCACAGGTGGACTCCAATCAAGTTGTAGAAACATCAAGGATGATCAATGGAAAACAGGATGCACCTGAGCTCAATTTCGAGTCTCATAGCAAAGGGTCTGAATACTTATGTAAATAAGGTATTTCTGTTATGCATTTTTTATATATTTGCAAAATATTCTAAAAACCTGTTTTCTCCTTGTCATTATGGGGTATTGTGTGTAGATTGATGAGGGAAAACAATTATTTAATCAATTTTAGAATAAGGCTGTAATGTAACAAAATGTGGAAAAAGTCAAGGGGTCTGAATACTTTCCGAATGCACCGTACATTAAACAAGTTTCTCTTTATCCCAAAGAAATCCAAATCTAATGCCTGCATTATTCATTTTGGTGTATACATTTTGGCATTAATGGTGGCATTACTTTAATATAACATGGACCAGTATTAATTATAAGATGAAGATAAGGGCTATGAGTGACAGGCAACATGGTTTGAGTGTCACCTGTTAAGTCTCTCCGTCTCCACCTCAAACTCTCTGATCTTGTTCTCAGAGATGGCTGATCCATGGGAGTATAGGGTCTGGAAGATCTCCTGGATGTTGGAGCAGTCCTGGAGGGAGTGTGCTAGGTGCTCCGCCACGTTACTGGACACCTGGGAGAGGAGGAACAGGGGTACATGGGGGTAAGACTGACATTTACATTGATCTAAGGAGGAGGGGAGTAGACAGCGCTTCAACCAATGTGAGTCGAGGTGCAGCCCAAAATCACAATGTAAAAACAACACAATGGGAATTCAATGGGTCAGACAGACTGAGGGCATTTATTTGTGATCCTCCACTCTCTTAATCCACAGTGAGTGTATACAGACAGAGTTTATAACCTTTAATTATACAGGTTAGTCTTATTGAGATCAAACTATTTTTCAAGAGATTGTATACGGAGAGAGACTGAACTCTGCTCTGCATTCCTTTACATAATCCGTCTCAGCCTAGTCCCAGACGAATACTAACAGCCTGCCTCTCTCTTTCTCTCTCTTCCCTCTGACTCTCATTCTAGTCTATTTTGGGCCAGATGGGTTCTGGCTAAAGATTGAGAGGAGAAGTTTAGAATTTTGGTGGCCGGAGCTTTCAGGGAAAAGAGAAGCCTGGAATCATTAGGATTGGTTTCCCGTCACCCACACGTGAACACAAACCAAGGGGAGAGAGGGAGATAGAAAAAGAGAGGGAGAGAAAGGGAGAGAGGGAGGGAGGCACTAGAGAAAAGAGGGCATCAGAAGAGGATTGAAAGAGGAAAGCGATAAAACTATATAGCTGGGTCTGTTGGTTGTTTTTTCCCCCTCCCTGTTCCCCTGTTCGAGGAGACGTTGTCAGGTCAACCTTTAGTCTCAACGGGGTTTTGTGTGTGGCAGGGGGAGGGTAGGGAGCAGAGCAGTGGGGTATGAGTTACACCAGGTCTGTCACACCATACTGGAGGTACCTATCTCTGACACTTCTGCTGATGCTGTTATCATCGGCCAGCTGCTACAGGGAAATGTTCTCCTACCTACTGTCGCGCTCTCTCTTACTCTGTCTACCCCTCTCTCTATCCTACTTCCATCTCTTCCTTTATTTTAACCCTTTGCCATCTTCCCCCTCAAAGCCTTCAGTATTGAATAGGCATCCAGTAGCTCCTTACCCCGATGCTGCTGATCTCTGGTCCCAGAACAGGCCTCTCGGTGGAAGAAGACTCCGACCTGGTTTTAGACAGCTTCACCCGCTCTGCCACCTAGCAACAAGACAACAAACTGGTTGATCACCAAGGCATTCCTAGTCGATTGCGAAACATTTCTATAAAAAACCCAACGATATAGCCTTACATTGCTACTTTTTTCTGTCTCGCTCTGTTGGCAGTAGGTGCACTTGTTTCAGCTGCCCTGTGCGCCGGGTAGGCGAAGTGTTCCCATTTTGAACAAATTCATGTGTCTGAAGGTACCAGCTCTGCCTACTCGGCGTGCCCCGAGAGCAAATCAAGTGCACCTATAAGCCTACCGCTAGCCAATCGGATTGCTCAGATCACTGTGTCTGTCTGCAGCTTCCTCGAGCGCACAGCTAAGGAAGTTGATACTGTGATTTCAAAACGTCAAAAACCATGACTAAAGAGAGACTGTCAACGAATACAGCAAAGACCTGCTGTTTTTATGAGTGAGTTCATGTTAAACATTTTACTTACCACTTTTATAAGCCATGAAATGCGCTTAACCACTCACACTGCAGTTTCAACGAATGAGTAGCAAAGTGTATCGATAGGCTTGCATTGTTATTATTAGCGGCTGTGTTTTTTCATATCAAGGAATATTTCATTTTCTCTGGTCATAAGAGTAGCAACATGAATTTGTGCATGAGGCAGAAATAATGCGGTGTGACTCGAGTTTCGCCATCAGCGCGAAGACGGTGTCCCCTTTTTGGTCATAGCGGAGCGGGGAGGGCTGAGGCACTGTCCGACGGGGAGAGGCGGACCCTCTGATGCTTTCCCTCTGCTAAGACTGACCATAAGATGCAGGCACAATCAGTCCAGTAAAATAAAGAAAGCACATTATTTCAATTTATGTTCACTCAGCTGTGCCTCACAAATAATACAACAAATGATGATCTATTACCAGTGTGATCGTAAACCAAGTTTTGAAATATACTTTTTTAATGTCTGAGAAGAACAACATTGGCAGGGCAATTCAAACATTGCATAATGTATTGGGCATATAGCCTACTACAAACTTAATTTCTACAGAACTGTTTTTAATAGGTTAATGTTGCATAGGCTTACGTTTTTGAAGTCAAGTAAAAAATTAAAATAAAATCTGAGCGGTAGATCTCGGCCTTCATTTTGACTCAGAAAGTGATCTCGGCTCAGAAAAGGTCCACTGCTCTAATGTATTGTATTCCCTCTGAGGCTCAATGTCAAGGACACACACGGGAGAGTGGAAGAGCGAATGGTTGCCTCTGATTACCACTGTCCCTCTCTGACTGGACAAGCCCAAGGCTAGTACGCTGATTAGTGTGTGTATGTGTCATTCAAGTGATAGAGAGAGTGAAAAATGTAAACGATGACAAAATGTTTTTCCTTGGCCATTCCAGAGAGACATTGCATTACCTCATGAATGTACGATATTCCATTTCTTCAATTCTATTACTCAAGACCGTGTGAGGTCTTAACCCTTTAATGTACTTCGACATGCATAACATGCGGGTTTTTTTGTACCTTACTATGCACGTCATAGTGTGTGTGTGTGTGTGTGTGTGTGTGTGTGTGTGTGTGTTCTACCTTGGCCACAGGTATATCGTTACTGCTGCTGCTGGTGCTGAGTTCCCCAGTGCTGGGGTTGATGGGGCGGGAGGCGGGGGTGAGACGCCCAGGGCTGGACAGGCCTGCAGGCTGGGAGCTCTGGAGACGCGTCTGCAGCTCCCGCACCTGGGGAGAAGACACCATAGAGACACATTATATTACTATTTCATTGTGACTGTGTTCTATTTAATTATATGGGACACAAAGACACACATAAGCTGGGGTTCATGGGCATGGCAAATCACATGAAAATAACATGAATAAAACATAAATAACACCCAGACCTGCTGAAAACACACACAACTGCTTATGACTTCATCATATAGAGGATTTACAAAGGACTTTAACCACTTCTTGCTCCAGTTTTAGACAATGTGAGGATCCATCTCATCTATTTAGAGCAGTGGGCAAAGGCAGGAATTTTGGGACAGTGATGATGTCATGAATGCAGAGGCAACGGGGTACTTGAGTCGCTCCACTGCTGACAGGCTTCTCCTCTCACTCTATATTAAGCATCAGAAAGCTCATGTAAAGGCTTGCCAGGTCTAGCAATGAATTTGTATGCAAGCTTGGATTTGTCTGTATTATGCTTGCAGCTTGTATACAAAATCCACATGCTGTTGTTTATATGTTGTTACCTCTTCACAACCCAAAGCAGTTTAGGCTCCAGGTGTGTGTGTGGTTGTGTGCGTGCATGTTTGTTGAGGTGTGTGTATGTGTCAGAGGGAGAGAGCTTCCTCTGCCAGGAAAAGTGTGGAAAAGAAATAACATTAGTTTGAACCCTGGCCCATGAAAATACTGTATAAACAGTGAAAACTCAGCAAACTTGGTTTTGGATACAATGGCCTTTTGTGCTTTATACAGCACCCATTGTACACACAGTGACACCACAGTATATACCCACAAACAGTCAGCAACTGACGAGTTGTTGGCAGCACTGGATAGCTGAATACACATGACAAGAAGTCTAAATCATGTTAGCTACCTGCATGTTGTCAACAATATAGGCGAACCTTTACATTGTATACATACATGTGGTATTATAGGCACAGGTATATCGATCTACATCATTTTAACAATCTGCACAAACATCAGTACATGTCAGCACAAATGTATGGTCTGGTGTGTAAATCAGGCTTCCTCTAGAGGCAGACATACTGGCCTGGAAAACAGCTGAGGCGATTAGCTTGCATCTGCCTCTAACTCTGTCTCTGCCTCCGCCAGCCAGACTGCGAGAACAGATTTTCCCCACCTCTATTTCCCTATGGACGCCAGGGGAGAGGAGACTTTCAGAGACGGATAAGAGAAAGTGAGTGACAGAGAGAGGTGGTGAGGAGGAGAGTGGGGAAAGGTTGACAGTGAAGCAGACACTGGGAATGAGAGAGGGAGAGCAGGGACAGAGGAGGGATAGAGAGGGTGTAGGAGAGAGGGAGAGAGAAACAGAGAGAGAGAGAGAGGAGAAGAGTCCCCTAAGCAAGCTGGTCCAGTTCACAAACAGACCCAACAGAGCCCCACGACAGCAACACAATTAGACCCAACCAAATCGTGAGAAAACTAAGATAATTACTTGACACATTGGAAAGAATTAACAAAAAAAATGAGCAAACTAGAATGCTATTTGGCCCTAAACAGAGAGTACAGTGGCAGAATACCTGACCACTGTGGCTGACCCAAAATGTAGGAAAGCTTTGACTATGTACAGACTCAGTGAGCATAGCCTTGCTATTGAGAAAGGTCACCGTAGGCAGACCTGGCTCTCAAGAGAAGACAGGCTATGTGCACACTGGCCACAAAATTAGGTAGAAACTGAGCTGCACTTCCTAACCTCTACCAAATGTATGACCATATTAGAGACACATATTTCCCTCAGATTACACAGACCCACAAAGAATTCGAAAACAAATCCAATTTGATAAACTCCCATATCTATTGGGTGAAAACCAAGTGTGCAATCACAGCAGCAAGATTGTGACCTGTTCCACAAGAAAGGGCAACCAGTGAAGACAACACCTTGTAATACAACCACATTGTGTTATCTATTTCCTTTATATTACTTTTCACGTTAAACATGATAGTAAACATAATAGACATTTGAAATGTCTTTATTCTTTGGAACTGTGTGAGTGTAGACTACTGTTCTCCTGAGTGCGCAGTGTCTAAGGCGCCGCATCGCAGTGTTAATTGTGCCACTAAGATCCTGGTTCGAATCCAGGCTCTGTCGCAGTCCGCCGCGACCGGAGATCATGGGCGGCGCACAATGGCCCAGCGTCGTCAGGTAGGGAGGAATGGCCGGCAGGATGTAGCTCATGATAGAGCATGTGTTTGCAACCCAGGGTTTGGGTTCGATTCCCACGGTGGGACGTAATATAAATATAAAAACAATATGTAAAAAAAAAAATGTATCACTAACTGTAAGTCGCTCTGGATAAGAGCGTCTGCTAAATGACTAAAATGTAATGTAAATGTAATATTTACTGTTCACTTTGTATTGTTTATTTCACTTTTGTTCATCCATTTCACTTGCTTTGGCAATGTAAACATGTTTCCCATGCCAATAAAGCCCCTTGAATTGAATTGAGTGTAGGAGAAAGGGAGGGAGAGAAAGAAAGAGGTGTATGACAGAAAGGGTGTGTGTGAGAGAGAGACAGAAAGAGAGGTGTATGACAGAAAGAGTGTGTGAGAGAGAGACAGAAAGAGAGCGGGTGTAGGAGAGAGAGGCTGTAGGAGGGAGAGAGAGGGTGTAGGAGAGAGCGAGAGAGAGGGAGGGTGTAGGAGGGAGAGAGAGGGTGTAAGAGGGAGAGAGGGTGTAGGAGAGAGCGTGAGAGAGGGAGGGTGTAGGAGGGAGAGAGCGAGAAAGAGAGGGTGTAGGAGAGAGCGAGAGAGAGCGCGCGCGCGAGAGAGCTTGGCCATGACTTTGAACACTGCTGTTTTTCCTGCTCTCCTCTCCTGACAAACTCCCTGGGAGCCGTAGGTCTGAAAAAAGCCACATGGCTGCCATGTGCTGCCAAAGGACACAGAGAGGACTGCGACTGTGCCATCATGAACTAGTCCTCTAGCCAGCTGTCTCCTTCATGATCCCTGAGAAAAGAAACTGCAAAGAAAATGATTCTGGTTCTGTTCGGTTCTGGCCAGTATATAAATCGAAGACTTTGTTTGACTCATATGCACCTGCTTTTCACATGCACATCTGTCCAGGACAGTTCTAGTATACTGAACAAAAATATAAACGCAACATGCAACAATTTGAACGATTTGACTGAGTTACAGTTCATTTAAGGAAATCAGTCAATTGAAATAAGTTAATTAGACCCTAATCTATGGATTTCACATGACTGGGAAGGGGCACAGCCATGGGTTGGCCTGGGAGGGCATAGGCACACCCACTTGGGAGCCAGGTCCAGCCATTGTGGAGCCAGGCCCAGCCAATCAGAATTAGTTTTTCCCCACAAAGACCTTTATTACAGACAGAAATACTCCTCAGTTTCATAAACTGTCCGGGTGGCAGGTCTCAGACAATCCCGCAGGTGAAGAAGCCGGAAGTGAAGGTCCTGGGCTGGCGTGGTTACACGTGGTCTGTGGTTGTGAGACTTGTTGGACGTACTGTCAAATTATCTTATTGCAGAGAAATTAACATTACATTCTCTGGCAACAACTCTGGTGGACATTCCTGCAGTCAGCATGCCAATTGCATGCTTTCTCAAAACTTGAGACATATATGGCATTGTGTTGTGTGACAAAACAGCACATTTTAGAGTGGCCTTTTATTGTCCCCAGCACAAGGTGCACCTGTGTAATGATCATGCTGTTTAATCAGCTTCTTCATATGCCACAAATGTCAGGTGGATGGATTATCTTGTCAAAGGAGAAATGCTTACCAACAGTGATGTAAACAAATTTGTGCACAAAATTTGACAGAAATACGCTTTTTGTGCGTATGGAACATTTCTGGGATCTTTTATTTCAGCTCATGAAACATGGGACCAACACTTAAGATGTTGCGTTTATATTTTTCTTCAGTATACACTGCCTTGTGCTGTGGTGTTTCACTGGAAGTGGTTGATTCCAACATATCAGTGATTCTTATTATGAGTGGAGTGCATTGTAAAAGCTTACAATGACATGCCAATATATAGAGGTCTGTCTCTGGACTTAAAAGTCAAGGCTCTTTTGTATCGTAAACAAACTGCCGACACAGCTGAATTATGTGGACTACACACATACAGTACCGGTACTGTAAAAGGTGTAACAGATGCTTACTACCACAGTAAATACCTGTCCTTCAAATGGAAGGTAAAAGCATAGGGAAGGAAAGTTAAGATCGTATTCGGACCTTGAGTCTCAAATGAGGGGGAATCCATATTTTAAAAGGCTGAGCAGGAGGAAGCGGGCCCCCAAGGACACACCGGTGTGTGCATAGCAAATCCTTTAAGGAGCCCCACATTGAAACAGCAACGCAATGCATTTGTCCAATTAGTCTGCAAAACGGTCAGATTTCATTAGAGGAAAGAGGAGAGGAGAAATTGAGAGGGTGGGAGGAACGAGTGCTCTGAGCTGAGCTGGGATGCTTTTTCTGCTGCGTCTGGGTCTCCTTTCTGAGGACCCACTAGAATTAGTGAGGCTGGTTAGGTCGGCCTGACCGTTTTTAGCTCGATACATCTCGCAGTCTAATCATATTACGGTCCTAACTAGCTTCAGCAAGCCTTGGGAGGACACCAGATTTGATTATGTGTCTAAAAGTGCTCAACGTATTGATTCAGACGGCCGCCCTAACCGGCGCACCATCGTTTGGTTCAGAAAGCAGAACTCAGTTTGCAGCTGGAAAATTCAAAGGGTTCATTCTTGCAGGAGCAAGGATAAATACATGTGTCTGGCCACTCGTGCCCAGTAATGTCTTCTTCTCCTTCAGACATCCCTGAATAAACTTGCTGGAATTAGAAATGGTACGTGCGAGTGTCTGTCAATGCAGTGGCCTAGCGACAAGGCATCAGAGAACATGTCTATATTTGAACCGATCTCCGCAGATCGTTCAATCAAACGGACATGGTGGACCATAATTACAGCTTAGCGCATTCTGTGCAGAGATTTTTTTTACAGTCTTAGTTCTCTACCTAGAACAGGTTCACACTAGGACACATTTACTGGAGATTTGGCAACAGGGTCAAGTTCTCACAACTTTTTTGGGATCTAATCAAAAATACATGTACATTGCATTGTTGAGTCTCTTCTTTCTACCTTCCACCTCACTAGATACATTTCTATGTACTGACTGCTATGGGTCAGATTCAACCAAAATTAATGTAAACCTGACTTAGTAATATTAAGCAACGATGCACCCCAGTCTGTCAGCTACCAACACAGTCACGTGGAAAGGCTCAAAAAGGTACACAGAAAACGTAAAAAATCATAATAACGGGACCCAGCTGACTGACCCGTCGTCTCAGGCGGTCACGTTCCTCCCGGATGGCGTTCATGGTGGCCTTGGTGCGGTTCAGATCCTCCTCCTTGGAGCACAGCATGGCCGTCAGGCTCTCGTTCTCTTCCCTCAGGCCAGCCAGCTCCTTCTCCCAGTGCATCCGCTCCTCCGACAGGCTGGGGTAGAAGTCCCGTCCGAGGGCTCCCTCGATCTCCTCCACCGTCTGGGGGAAGGAGGAAAGAGGGGGAACGTTATTTTATGGCACGCCATTTTACAGTGCCGTATGTATAGGGTGTTGAGATTGAGATTACACGGTAACAATTCTACTAACCAAATGTGAATGACTGTGGATTCTCTGGGACTCATTGAAATTGGCATCACAAAAAATAACAATTTGGTACCTTGTAGTTGTCACGTCCTGGCTCTGGGGACTCTTAAATGTTGAGCCAGGGTGTGTAGTGTCTATGTTTTGTTTTCTATGTGTTTCTTTCTAGATCGTTTATTTCTATGTTGGCCAGGGTGGTTCCCAATCAGAGACAGCTGTGGCTCGTTGTCTCTGATTGGGAACCATACTTAGGCAGCCTGTTTTGCACTTGTCATTTGTGGGATCTTGTTCCGGAGAGGTTTGTGTTTGTTAACCTTAGGACTTCACGTATCGTTTTGTTGTAGTGTATAAAGTACTCATTAAAAGATGTACGCATATCACGCTGCGCCTTGGTCCGTTGCTTACGACGATCGTGACAGTAGTAGCCCCAAGAAAGAGACAAGAAAATGATATGAGAAAAACTAAACAGGGAGACAAAACAAAAGTGAGACCAAGAAAATCTAACATGTCAGGCACATTTGTTTTTGCACAGGATTTTCCCCTACATAGCGGTTCAATTTTTATGTTTATAATTTGTGGGTAGTGTAGTCCATCACGCGTCTCAATTTACATGAGTAGAACAAGCACCCAAGACGATGATTTATGTACGTGTCTTTTTCCTTTTTCTATCTAGTGGAAGAAACCCCTGATCTCCCAAAAGTGCCCATATTTTAGAGTGTATAACTGTGTGTGTATGTGCGTGCGTACGTATGAACGTGTGAGATATGGCAGAGGGTTAGCGTCTATGATCATGTCTGTCTCTAGCATCAGAGATGAGGATCTGTAGAGTGATTCATAGGCTTGTAGTGGGCTTAGAGACAGGCTTGAGTCACGCCTTTATCTCCTCCACACCCCAGAGAGTCAATCTCTCTTATCCCTCCATCCATCCATCTCCCTCTCAGCTCCCAGACAGAGTGAGAGGGCGAGAGCGATAGAGAGAGAGCAGGAGAGGGGGGGATTGAGTAAGAGGCAATTGGTTTAAACACCGAAGGAAATGGAATGAACTTGAAATCCCAAGTCTCATCGACTGCTGTAGATCTCACACCAGGCCAGGTATTGAGCGATAATTTTGCATTTGTATTAGGATATTGTAATGGAATTTAATATTTTGGAATTTGTAATGCACAAATTGAATCATAGAATTCATCATTTGAACTTGTATTTTGTGATTTGAAACTGAATTGAATAAATATTGCATTTAGTTATAAAATTCAATTGAGTTGAATATTTTCAGTGCAATTTTTTATTAAATTAATCCATTTTAAATTCAGGCTGTAACACAACAACATGTGTTATAGGTCATGGGTATGAATACTATGTGAAGGATCTGTATACAGTGCATTCGGAAAGAATTTAGACCCCTTGACTTTTTCCACATTTTAGCAAATTTATAAAAAAAAAAAAACTGAAGCATCACATTTACATAAGTATTCAGACCCTTTCCTCAGCACTTTGTTGAAGCAGCTTTGGCAGCGATTACAGCCTCGAGTCTTCTTGGGTATGACGCTACAAGCTTGGCACACCTGTATTTGGGGAGTTCCTCCCATTCTTCACTGCAGATCCTCTCAAGCTCTGTCAGGTTGGATGGGGAGCGTCGCTGCACAGCTATTTTCAGGTCTCTCCAGAGATGTTCGATTGGGTTCTGGCCGGGCAACTCTGGCTGGGCCACTCAAGGACATTCAGAGACCTGTCCCGAAGCCACTCCTGCGTTGTCTTGGCTGTGTGCTTAGGGTCGTTGTCATGTTGGAAGGTGAACCTTTGCCCGAGTCTGAGGTCCTGAGCGCTCTGGAGCAGGTTTTCATCAAGGATCTCTCTGTACTTTGCTCCGTTCATCTCTGACTAGTCTCCCAGTCCCTGCCGCTGAAAAACATCCCCACAGCATGATGCTGCCACCACCATGCTTCACGTTTCCTCCAGATGTGACGCTTGGCATTCAGGTCAAAGAGTTCAATCTTGGTTTCATCAGACCAGATAATCTTGTTTCTCATGGTGAGAGTCTTTAGGTGCCTTTTGGCAAACTCAAAGTGGGCTGTCATGTGCCTTTTACTGAGGAGTGGTTTCCGTCTGGACACTCTACCATAAAAGCCAGATTGGTGAAGTGCTGCAGAGATGGTTGTCCTTCTGGAAGGTTCTCCCATCTCCACAGAGGAACTCTGGAGCTCTGTCAGAGTGACCATCTCCCTGACCAAGGCCCTTCTCCTCCGGTTGCTCAGTTTGGCCGGGCGGCCAGCTCTAGGAAAAGTCTTGGTGGTTCCAAACTTCTTCCATTTAAGGATGATGGAGGCGACTGTGGTCTTAGGAACCTTCAATGCAGCAGAAATGTTTTGGTATCCTTCCCCAGATCTGTGCCTCGACACAATCCTGTCATCTCGGAGCTCCTATGGACAATTCCTTCGACCTTATGGCTTGGTTTTTGCTCTGACATGCACTGTCAACTGTGGGACCTTCATATATACAGGCTTGTGCCTTTCCAAATAATTTCCAAATCAATTGAATTTACCACAGGTGGACTCCAATCAAGTTGTAGAAACATCTCAAGGATGATCAATGGAAACAGGATGCACCTGAGCTCAATTTCGAGTCTCATAGCAAAGGGTCTGAATACTTGGGTAAATAAGGTATTTCTGTTTTTTAATACATTTTTTTTTAAACATCTAAGAATCTGTTTTCGCTTTGTCATTATGGGGTATTGTGTGTAGGTTGATGAGGAAAAAATGTTATTTAATCAATTTTTGAATAAGGCTGTAATGTAACAAAATGTGGGAAAAGGGAAGGGGTCTGTTTATCAAAGTTTCATATATTCAACTTCTCGGATGCATTCAGATTCAGTTTTCAAATGCAGTTCTCTAAATTCAGATTCAAATCCAGAGATAACATCCTGGTACTTTGCCAGCCAGGTATGATCGAGGACACACAGATCGAATAAAGCACTCTCTGTGGTAAACAGAAGCTTCTGGCAGTGGCATGTTCAATTTATTTTCTTCCATTGAATATGGCTCTAGACATTATGACCCCATTCCTGAAAGTTTAGACTCTCGGGAACATGGATGTGCCTTCTGTTGCCCTCAAAGGCTGCGCAGGACATGTTAGAAGGGAGAAATGTTGTTCAATAGCCCTCTCATAGCCCTTCTAAGGATAGCCTAAATTCAACATGCCACATTGGCTTCAGAAACCGCCAGAAGCTTCTGTTTACCACAGAGAGTGCTTTATTCGATCTGTTCTTCTCTATCATACCTGGCCGGCAAAGTACCAGGATGTTGTCTCTGGTTTTGAATCTGAATTTAGAGAACTGAATTCGAAAAACTGAATCTGAATGCATCTGAAAAGTTGAATTTTTGAAACTTTGATAAACTTCCAATAATAGTTTGTAAACTTGATACATAGACAATGAATGCAATATATATCATATTGAAACTGAATATATAAATATTGACTTTAAAACAATGCAATATTCATTCAATTCAGTTTCAAATCATGAAATAAAAATTCAATTTATGAATTTAAGTATTCAATTTGTGCATTACAAATTCAAAAATATTACATTGAAATTCAATATCCTAATACAAATTCAAAATGAAATACAATTTCTGTTGGCACTGAAATCACTCCATACCAGCACTAACTCTCCAATTTAACCTCTAAATGAACAGAAGTCTACCCCAGCATGGCTAAGCCACAGAGATACTGAGATGAGTGGTACTGTACCGTATAGTCTCTATTTCTGGAATATGCTACTGCAACCTAATACTGCCTTGAACTAATACTTTTTTTTACAGTAATGTACATTTGAGGGTTGATATTTAATATAGGCCTAGACCATTTTTTACGAAGAACATTTGAAATCTGGAACTGATTTGAAAATGCACTGAAATGCCCCCAATTAGCCGAGTGTGTCCTGAATTCACCACAATAAATCATTTTAACAGTGGGGTGTATTCATGGATGCCAAGGGAAACCAAAACATTCACCAAGAAAAAAAAGAAATAATTGTGTAATCTGTGTTTTATAATATTCCTTCAATTTGAGGCTGAATGTATCTCAGAGTAAGCGAAACAGCGCCCCTCTGTCTCTGTATAGTTTAGCCCATTTATCTGATGCTGTCTGGTCAAAAAGAGCATGATATTGTTGCCGCCCATAGCATTGAATGCTGGCGAGCATGTGGCCTCCATTGATAAAAAATATAATAAAAAAGCCAATCAGCGTTGAGCTAAACTGAGTGAGCTCAACTGTGAATGGTCCAGGCGCACCAACAACAAAAAGTGTCATGGGAAGCCAGTTTGGATTTGGCTTCACACCAATCACATCACAACAAAAGCCAAAACGTCAATGACAGAAATAACTTTAATTGTTGCATCTCGTTGTGTTGTTGTCCTCCCATGACTAGCTAGCTAAAAATGTCCCTTTTCTAAATTAGCCATGAATGGCGATAGGGATTTGGACTTGTGGTTTTACTTAATTCTCTGTACTGGCCAATGATTATAATGGCGATTCTGATCCAACCATTAATTCATACATTGTGCCCCTGACCTGAGAGGATGGAAGTTCAATATGTAGCTAGATGTAGTAGGTTAATGTTAACTAGCTGGCTCATCATTGCCCATGAAAGGAAGTTAGGCTAGCGAGCAAGCATTTTAGCCAGGACAACAAAAACTAAAAGCGTGTAGCCTACTGTATGACATAGTCATCGACCGTTTCGGCGACATGAAAGAGAGGAGGATGGCGTTGGCGTTTCTCTACTAGTAGGGTGAGTCAACATGTTTTTTTCTACTTGCACGCAAGCACACACATAAATCAGTACAATTGACAGCCACATCATATTTAGCTTATGTTGAATGGACTAAATTGTTTTTGGTATATTTTAATTGTCACTGTATTAGACTAAGCATAGTGATTTGATGATGAAATGTTGTAGTTGAAATGGTGCTAGAATAGTGGAGGCAGCTCCTGTTTTGTTTGCGACTTGCGGTAACTCTCAGTGGTTCTAAATCAATAGTTATGTAGTCCGAGAATGTCGGAAGCATTAACTTGATTGACCATGCTGTAGGTCATGTAACTGTTTGTTACATGCAATATGCTTTGTGGACAGATGTTGTTCTCCGGTTTTGTGATGAAACAAAGGTGGTGTTGAATTTATTCTGCCACTTTGTCTTCTTATTGTCTCGGCATAAGGCCTATATATCACAGTGGCAAAGCATATGAACTAACAGGTTATAGAGAAAACAATGCAGTTATCACAACACATTGGCTTCCCCAGTGATTTTACCCAAGCACCACTACTGCATTTTAAACACTCAAATGCTTGACATGTGTATTTCATACTCTCTTAAACTGGAACCTTCATGGTAGCTGTTGGGTTTAAGACGGCATAGTGTCTATGGGCTCTATATCATATAAAGTACAGCGCCTCTGCTCCCTCCCTCTGTATGAGGTCTGGATCGGCTTTATCAACTGAATCGAAACGGTGTTAGAAGCCCAACTACTGCTATGGATCATGTGGAGTAACTTAAACTTGTCTGTGCCGCATGAACACCCAATATCAACAAATGGCCTGGGAGAAGATACATATTTGCCTGTGTGGTACTCTGTTTCTTTTTATAGGCTTAGTCATTGGTAATGGATTGGATCCACACACAATGGGATACTGTGGCCCAATCCCAAACCCATCACTAGATCCTTGGCTGACTCCTCGCAAATCTGAAAGGACTGGATATGTCGGTGTAGGAATCAGCTCCACCGCTCATACTCACTTGATAATTTTTGTTTCTATCAAATTACAAAAAGACACAATTAGGACACAGTCTAGAAAAGAGGGATCGGTTTGGGATTAAGCCTCTCAGCTGGAACTGTGAAGGCGTCTATTTTTCTTCCCACAAAATGTAATTGGATTAGGATTAAGTGGTCAGATTCATACTGAAACAAGGCAACTCAAATTCCTCTCTTTCAAGCCCAAGGAGAAAGCCCCTGTCCTCATCCAAATTAATTAGCACTGGTTGTGTCCACTGTGATCAACCAACAAAAGGGGGAGAAATTGATAGCTAAATAAACGTTCAACATAGGGATCTTGATTTATCTTTCTTTACAGTAATATGTCTCCATCTGTCCTCTATTGCTGCTCTGACACAATAGTTTGTGATGGAGGACCATTCAGGCTGATAACATAAAGCCAAGTAAATCCATTCTCCCACCTTACAGTGAGTGGGCTGTGACTGTCACTAACTGAATGCCAGTTATAGTGATTGTCTGTTACGCCTTTAGCAGTCTTAACACAAAGGACATACACTATATATACAAAAGTATGTGGACACCCCTTCAAATGAGTGGATTTGGCTATTTCAGCCACACCCGTTGCTGACAGGTGTATAAAATCGAGCACACAGCCACACAATCTCCATATAAAAACATTGGCAGTAGAATGGCCTTACGGAAGAGCTCAGTGACTTTCAACGTGGTACCGTCATAGGATGCCACCTTTCCAAAGAGTCAGTTTGTCAAAGTCTTGCCCTGCTAGAGCTGCCCCGGTCAACTGTAAGTGCTGTTATTGTGAAGCGGAAACATCTAGGAGCAACAACGGCTCAGCCGCAAAGTGATAGGCCACACAAGCTCACAGAACGGGACCGCCGAGTTCTGAAGCGCGTAACTCGTAAAAATCGTCTGTCCTCGTTTGCAACACTCACTACCGAGTTCCAAACTGCCTCTAGAAGCAACGTCAGCAAAATAACCGTTCATCGGGAGCTTCATGAAATGGGTTTCCATGGCCGAGCAGCCGCACACAAGCCTAAAATCACCATGCGCAATGCCAAGTGTCGGCTGGAGTGGTGTAAAGCTCGCCGCCATTGGACCTCCGATGCAGTGGAAACATGTTCTCTGGAGTGATTAATCACGCTTCACCATCTGGCAGTCCGATGGACAAATCTGGGTTTGGTGGATGCCAGGAGAACGCTACCTGGCCCAATGTATAGTGCCAACTGTAAAGTTTGGTGGAGGAATAATGGTCTGGGGCTGTTTTTCATGGTTCGGGCTAGGCCAGTGAAGGGAAATCTTAACGCTACAGCATACAATGACATTCTAGAATATTCTGTGCTTCCAACTTTGTGGCTACAGTTTTGAGAAGGCCCTTTCCTGTTTCAGCATGACAATGCCCCCGTGCACAAAGTGAGGTCCATACAGAAATGGTTTGTCGAGATCGGTGTGGAAGAACTTGACTGGCCTGCACAGAGCCCTGACCTCATCCGCATCGAACACCTTTGGGATGAATTGGAACACCAACTGCGAGCCAGGCCTAATCGCCCAACATCAGTGCCTGACCTCACTAATGATTGTGGCTGAATGGAAGCAAGTCCCCGCAGCAATGTTCCGACATCTAGTGGAAAGCCATCCCAGAAGAGTGGAGGCTGTTATAGCAGCAAAGGGGGGACCAACTCCATATTCATGCCCATGATTTTGGAATGAGATGTTCAACAAGCAGGTGTCCACATACTTTTGGTCATGAAAATTACTTGGTGGATGAGGCAAGGAGCTCCCTCCACTCTATTGCTTTATTTCTATGTCCTTCACTTTGCCTCTCTCCTTTCTCTATCTTTCTTTATCATAACTGTATCTCCCTCTCCCTTTCTCTACTTCTCTCCATCTCTTTGTCACATTCTGTGTCTATAGGTCTATTTCCCTTTCATTCTCCCTCGCTCTCATTCTCCCATCTTTCCCTGTGTGTGTGTTGTATTATCTGTTTGCGAGGAACAAATAGCTAGCAGACTGAATTCCCCTTAGGACTGCTAACACTCCCATCGCTACAGAGATTACAGCCAGGCAGACAGGGTTCCATTACCTGAGCTGAGGAGTCACCATGGGGACCACCATCAGGCCCCCCATCACACAGGCCCCCCAGGCTGAGACGGTCTGTTACTGTTGGGTCCAACCCAGGGTCACCCCAGGACCCCTGCTGATGGATTACTGGAAGTGGCTTAGGTCTTACAGCAGGACAGTTCAACGTCATACAACAGTTTAAGTATTATAACTAATCTCACTGTATTTTTATGTACCTTTCTTTAAGGGTCTGTGAATGCATTTAATAGGAAAGGTTTGCACACCAGTATTAGGTTAACCTATTTTCATCTATCCTGCATGTTTTTATTTCAGTCTGTCCGCTCTTTATCCTCCTTCACTCTTCCCTCCCAATTAATTGTGTTTATAAGGAAGGAAAAGGATTTGCTAAAACGAGTCTCAGTCTTAGCCGCTAGTCATTTCCTGTTGTCTTACCTTGATGGCAAGGTCACAGTGTTCGCTGGCGGTGGTCAGCTGCTCTATGTGGCGGTCCACCTCGGCCACAGACAGGCTGCATGTGCTCTTCTTCCTCCCACACAGCACGCTCTCCAACCCCGTCAGAACCCGCTGCAGCTCCAAGTTCAGGTCACTGCAGTTGTCTACAGGGAGAAAGCACAGATCCGGGTCAGATAGACTGGTCTAGGATTGGATTAATGTTTAAAAGCCTAATGTAAATGTCAGGCAAACTGAGTTCAGGCCACTGCAGTAGACTACAGGGAAGAAGTCCAGGGCCAGGGTCAAACGGATGTGGAATCAGATAAATGAATGCTAGTATGCCTGATGCAGACCAAAATATAATAGGACTAGAGCCAGATACACTGATCTAGGAACAAATAATCTAACCTCCATGTGGCTAGAACAACACAGCTACTGTAGTCTGCATGAGCAAGGTGACCTTGGAGCATAGTGTTGATGTTTTGTGTGCTAGGGCCATACTAATAACCAGCCATGTGCTAAATGCTAATGGTTTAACTGAGCGCCCGAGGGTGACTGAATGCTGCAGGCTAGTAACACACTCATTAAACCGCATCTCACACACATTTGCTGATTAGAGAGAATACAACACACACCACATTACTATTTGAGAGAAAGACAACGATACAAGCAGGACCATTCTTTTTTATATAATAATATGACAATATTGTCATTCAGTACATGTATCCACAGCGAACTGCTGAAGCTGCAAAATAATTACAGCAATTTCTGTCTGAAAAGTTCTGTTACCGAAATCCCTAATTTGTTTAGGAAAAACATTCCCTATTCCCTCAATCCTTGCTCTCTTTACGTGACATGTATGCATCGCATGCACGTGACCTATAGGGCCTGACCTATAGCAGATCATAATCACATCAATAAATTGGTTATAACAAACTCAGAACACCGTAACACGTGACAGCAAAATGGATGCAGATGACGTGACAAATAAACTAGAAAATGGGGGAATGTTTGGTTGCTCAGGAGGTAAAGGGGAAGTCAGATGTGTGGAATAAATCTTACTAGTTGTGGAAAATACTGGAGTTCAAGAAAAAGAAGGTGCAAGCGCTGTGTGCATATTATGTGTGCCAAACAGGTGCTGTTTGATTACAATATCATTTTTATGACCGTTTGGAACAAACACTAAATAAATTATAAGCGTACCAAAAACAGGTTGTGTTTTTTTTTTTTTTGGGGGGGGGGGGGGGGGGACTTTATTACAGCAAAGACTAAAAACAGTCGCATGCATTCGTGAATGCAATTGCCGACATGGAACGGTTTGTTTATTGTTTACGCTAATTAGTCAAGGGTCGCTTTGTTATTTTATTTTAAAACTAAAATGCTTGATTGCATTTCAAATCATGAATGACTCGTATGCTGTGTGATGACGAACGAATAATTATTGATTGATACAGTAGTCTATAGAAGTATTGAAATATAGGCCTAAGTAAGTTACGGTATTAAAACTAAACAGGATGCGCTCTTAGGCCTACAGCTCGATGGTGATTATACAAGGCTGCTATACTAAGCTTACTAATGATAATGACATTACTTATTATAATGATACAATTAATAATAATAACAATAAGGAGATCAAGAAAAAGGACCATTTGGAACAGTGTCAACACTAAATAAATTATAAGCAATACCAGAGCGGCTGTTCTAACGAAAAAAAAGTGTAAAGCCTTTATTAAAGCATAGCATAGATTAAAAACAGCCACATTTGTGAAATTGTTTATACGACATGTGGTTGAGGCTTGGTGCTCACGGAATCAATAGGTTATTAAACAAACACTCAAACAGGCAACACAAGCAGGATCTGTCTTATTTCTGTACATACAGTGCATTCGGAAAGTATTCAGACCCTTTGAATGTTTCTACATTTTGTTACGTTACAGCATTATTCAAAAATTGATTAAATTGTTTTTTTTCTCCTCATCATTCTACACACATTACCCCATAATGTTTTGCAAGTGTATTAAAAATTAAAACAGAAAACCTTATTTCCATAAGTACTCAGACCCTTCGCTATGAGACTCGAAATTGAGCTCAGGTGCATCCTGTTTCCATTGATCATCCTTGAGATGTTTCTACAACTTGGAGTCCACCTGTGGTACATTCAATTGATTGGACATGATTTGGAAAGGTGCACACCTGTCTAAATAAGTTCCCACAGTTGACAGTGCATGTCAGAGAAAAAAACCAAGCCATGAGGTTGAAGGAATTGTCCATAGAGCTCCTGAATGCCAAGCGTCACGTCTGGAGGAAACCTGGCACCATCCCTACGGTGAAGCATGGTGGTGGCAGCATCATGCTGTGGGGATGTTTTTCAGCGGCAGGGACTGGGAGACTATTCAGGATAGAGGCAAAGATGAACGGAGCAAAATACAGAGAGATCCTTGATGAAAATCTGCTCCAGAGCGCTCAGGACCTCAGACTGGGGTGAAGGTTCACCTTCCAACAGGACAATGACCCTAAGCACACAGCAAAGACAACGCAGGAGTGGCTTCGGGACAAGTCTCTGAATGTCCTTGAGTGGCCCAGCCAGAGCCCGGACTTGAACCCAATCGAACATCTCTGGAGAGAACTGAAAATAGCTGTGCAGCGACGCTCCCCATCCAACCTGACAGAGCTTGACAAGATCTGCAGAGAAGAAATGGGAGAAACTCCCCAAATACAGGTGTGCCAAGCTTGTAGCGTCATACCCAAGAAGACTGATTACTTATGTAAATGTATTATTTCCGTAGTTTTTTTTAAAGAAATGTGCGAAAATGTATAAAAATCTGATTTTGCTTTGTCATTACGGGGTATTGTGTGTTGATTGATAAAATAAAATAAAAATTAAATCAATTTTAGAATAAGGCTGTAACGTAACAAACTGTGGAAAAAGTCAAGGGGTCTGAATACTTTCCGAATGCACTGTACAATTTCAGTAACACAAGTCTTAGAGTGATGGACATTGCCATCCCCACTGCCTCCACAATGGATCAGTCCACTCAGACAGATGTCTTGCACGCCATGATTTTTTAAATGTATTTTTGTGCTACTGCTCGACTAAAGAAATCTCTGTCGACCAACAGCCTATCGACCAGTCGACTAAATGGGGACAGCACTAAAAGGCATGTACCAATTTCAAAGCTTCCGTTCCCTATTCACTGTGTCAACTTCTTTATCTCAAGCGATACAACTTAATATCTCAAGAGGGATTCAAATTGGCTCATCAGAAACAAATTTAAATCTGCATATAAATAAAAGCCCTGCAAAAGCATCCAATACCGCCATGCCGATGGTGAGCACCTGCTGCCATACTGCATCCAAAATAATAAATGATGATTATCGTCCCAGACCTAGTCAAACATAGCCTGGGTACATTGTGTGGGATATGAAAATGTGGAGAGCGACAGACGTATTTCCCAATGTGCCCCCTTTTCCTACCGCTGGAGGGGGCTAAGTATTTGCAGATTTTGCCAACAATGCAAAAGTAATTAGTGCTGTACGAACGAACGTGATGATTAACAAAACTTGTATTCCTGTTTCCTAAACGATTTCCTGACTGGTGAAATCCTTTGTGTGTGTGAGGGGATAAGATTGCCCCGGCTACAGCTAGAGACAAATGACTGAAAAATGTTTTTCTTCTCTCTCTCTGCTCAACGTTGAGGATAATGAAGAAGAGAAACCGATAAAGCTCTTTACCATTGACAAGTGATTGCTGGGTGCTCTCAGCACCATTGATAGAGGGGAGTATAAATAGCGTCTCGAAGGAAGGAACTGCTGCACGGACTCTGCTGAATACATTTTCCATTGTGGGAGTGTGCATGCAAGCACGAGCACAAACACACACACACAGACACACACACACACACACACACAGACACACACACACACACACATAACTGCTCCTCATTCTATCTCCGCTAGAAGCCGATAATTGTGTATTGGGTGCCATCAACCCTATAGCAGTTGGTTGGCAACAGGCCATCCATCAAGGGAGGACATGCACAGATACTGTAGGTAACAGAGTCTATGGGCACAGATAGGTAACATAGGATGGGAGAGAGGATTTAAATGAACCACTGATCAAAGCAGTTATTAGTGAAACAGAAAAGCGAAGATTAGAGTGAGAGCATGAACACATTCATTCTACTGATGGTGTAGAGCCAACTCCGGCTTGGTGGTGAATGTGTCCACTAAACCATAGAATGAGGGTATTCAGAGCAAGTCAAAATCATTTATAAGAGTTGTACGTGGGTTTACAGTCAAGCACTACAGGCACATTGTGTCCTTTCTTACCCATGTCGGCGGTCACCAGGGTGGAGTGGTTTTCAGGCAGTGAGACGGATGCCCCGTCCTGGTCCAGGCTGTGTCCGTCCTCGTTGACCTCGAGCTGGCTGTGGCTGAGCTCCGAACGCAGCTCCGAAAACTCATCCTCCTCCCTGAGGGGCAGAGGGTCACTGAGTTGTCTGAGTTAGGTCAAACTGATATGACACTAACCTTGACAGATCTGTTTGTGCTTCGATAACGCTGTAATTTCCTGGCATGATGGCAAACAGAGGAGTCAGCTAAAGCATAAAAGTGATTTGGCAACCAGGCGGGTGTGACAATTCCCTGCAAAGTTTTGTTTTACTTCAATGTCGTTTTCATGACCACACACACTGCCATTACCAGATGATGGTGTATAGAATCGATCAGTGGGAACGAGAGATCAGTTTGTTTTATAGGGTATCAGCTATTGATCTATAAATAGTAGAAACAGTAACCGTGTAGATGTACCATCATGTCAATCTTAAGCCTTGAGTATAGTTAACATGGTTAATATCTGGAAAAACGACCTGAGAAAACCTACAGCAGGGTTCTTCAATTCCGGTCCTGGAGGGCCGAAACACCTCTGTTTTTCATCCTCTCCTTCTAATCAGGGGCCAATTCAGACCTGGGACACCAGGTGAGTGCAATTAACTACCACGTAGAAATAAAAAACTGAAGTGTTTCGGCCCTCCAGGACCGGAATTGAAGAACCCTGACCTACAGTATAATAGACCCTTTGATCCAAGCCCTCTGAGATCCAGCCTATATCCTGTAAGCTTAGCATCAGTTAACCTGTAAAACGGCAAAATACAGCCATTTCATGTGATTAGCTATGCCTTATTAAACATGGAAATCTATGCCATTCATATAAGGCTGTGGCGAGCATTTGTCCTTTTCAAATATGCACACTTTCCACATGAATACGCAAGCTGATTAACCCTATACAGCACGTATACGCGTACGTGTGTGTGTATATTCGTGCTTCAGATGAGAACCCTCCGCAATTAAGCAATAGTGACGTCCCAGTCTGAACTTCTCAGGCATTAGTATTTAAATATATGCACAAGCATGAAGATCATGTATAGTTTTAATGAGGGAAAAGCTCTCGTTGTGACCAACCTGCAGGAGAAATGTCAGATCTTAGCAGTGCAGTGTTTACACGTCTGTGAGACTGATCACATCGGATTATCTATTAGATGAAGCACGGACACCCCACACCTATGTTGATACCACTTGTCATCCCTTGCGATGACAGCTAGATAAATTCAATCGAGGAAAATGTCTAGATCCAAATGAAAGCAGCATACATTTCTACATTTTGAATGAATGTTGATTCTTGTGCCTGCGTCTCGGATTCTGTATATTGTCTGCCACACATGCCTGGAGTTCCATTGGGAAAATGGATTCTATCCAAACTCTATCCATTAGGTCTATGTATGTGATACAGAAATAAACACTATTGGTGAAAGTAGTATTGCACTAAACAACCTCACTGCTGCTACCAAACATTGATATGTCACATCTTGCCAGTAGCTCTGAATTATAGGGTCGTTTGATTGCATATAATTGGTTTGACACAATCTTGATTGCACGTCTGTGAAATAAATAGCCGGGCAGTAAATTCACATCACAGAGTTCTCACAAGGTTGGCAAATAGAAAGTACTGACTCACACTGTTATATGCTGTTCTGACAACATGACGCAAGATATACTGAATTGGCATGGCACCGTTTATGCAAACATAAACACACACAAATAATCAGAGAATGAAATCAAACAGATTTGGAGAATTCCCCTTTTCCAAAATGCATAAGACTTTATAACGAACCTAATTAAACAACCAGGGTAACACTTAATTTGGATAGTCTGTAGAGCATCTACAGATTGACTATCAGTAACATTACAACTAACTATCCATTAACCCTTACACTAACCTTAACCTTTACCCTTACCCTAACCCTTATTCTAAACCTAACCTTAGCAAGCAGTTGCTTATCAACAGATAGTAAGACCATCTGTAAAGCATCTACAGATGGACAATCCGGACTATCCAAATAAAGTGTGACCAAAACCAGTACACATTTTGGAAATTGAGGAATTTTGGGGGGCTGCCATGCTTGAGTTCATTCTAATCAGTTGCTTGGTTAATGGTCCTGCTTAGCACTCAAACCGATGCCTATTTTTTCAGAGGAGTTTTTTTCCCGGTACACATCAGTGTGTTAAGCACCGGTGGAGAGGGCTGGAGAGGGCACTTAAGCTAGGAAAACAAACACTTACAAGGCTGAAGGATGGGACTAATAACAACAACTAATAACAACAAGATAACTAGTGTAAGACATACTGTGTCCATAATAAGGATATAGGTTATATATTGTGAGGTTTTGTGAAAGAGCACAGTTTGAAAGATATGGCATATAGAAGCATACCAGATGGACATCATGAAAATGATCATTAGTTCAGGAGTAAAAACAAACAAAATATAATTATTGACCGTGTCCATAAAATGTATATAGTATGTATAAGCATGAAGTAGAGGCCTAAGCATTGTTGTTCACTAGTTTAGTCCAATTAGGGAGGGGATGGTGGGGTTGGAAAGTAATAAAGGGAAATATATATATTTTTAAAGGATAGATATATATATATATATATATACACACATACATATACACACACAGTTGAAGTCGGAAGTTTACATACACCTTAGCCAAATACATTTAAACTCAGGTTTTTCACAATTCTTGACATTTAATCCTAGTATAAATTCCCTGTCATAGGTCAGTTAGGATCACCACCTTATTTTAAGAATGTGAAATGTCAGAATAATAGTAGAGAGAATTATTTCTTTCAGCTTTTATTTCTTTCATCACATTCCCAGTGGGTCAGAAGTTTACATACACTCAAATTAGTATTTGGTAGCATTGCCTTTAAATTGTTTAACTTGGGTCAAATGTTTCAGGTAGCCTTCCACAAGCTTCCCGCAATAAGTTGGGTGAATTTTGGCCCATTCCTCCTGACAGAGCTGGTGTAACTGGGTCAGGTTTGTAGGCCTCCTTGCTCGCACACGCTTTTTTCAGTTCTGCCCACACATTTTCTATAGGATTGAGGTCAGGGCTTTGTGATGGCCACTCCAATAACTTGACTTTGTTGTCCTTAAGCCATTTTGCCACAACTTTGGAAGTATGCTTGGGTTCATTGTCCATTTGGAAGACCCATTTGCGACCAAGCTTTAACTTCCTGACTGATGTCTTGAGATGTTGCTTCAATATATCCACATCATTTTCCTTCCTCATGATGCCATCTATTTTGTGAAGTGCACCAGTCCCTCCTGCAGCAAAGCACCCCACAGCATGATGCTGCCACCCCCGTGCTTCACGGTTGGGATGGTGTTCTTCGGCTTGCAAGTCCCCCCTTTCTCCTCCAAACATAACGATGGTCATTATGGCCAAACAGTTCTATTTTTGTTTCATCAGACCAGAGGACATTTCTCCAAAAAGTATGATCTTTGTCCCCATGTGAAGTTGCAAACCATAGTCTGGCTTTTTTATGGCAGTTTTGCAGCAGTGGCTTCTTCCTTGCTGAGCGGCCTTTCAGATTATGTCGATATAGGACTCGTTTTACTGTGGATATAGATACTTTTGTACCGGTTTCCTCCAGCATCTTCACAAGTTCCTTTGCTGTTCTTCTGGGATTGATTTGCACTTTTCGCACTAAAGTACGTTCATCTCTAAGAGACAGAACGCGTCTCCTTCCTGAGCGGTATGACAGGTGCATGGTCCCATGGTGTTTATACTTGCGTACTATTGTTTGTACAGATGAACGTAGTACCTTCAGGCGTTTGGAAATTGCTCCCAAGGATGAACCAGACTTGTGGAGGTCTACAATTATTTTTCTGAGGTCTTGGCTGATTTCTTTTGATTTTCTCATGATGTCAAGCAAAGAGGCACTGAGTTTGAAGGTAGGCCTTGAAATACATCCACAGGTACACCTCCAATTGACTCAAATTATGTCATGTAGCCTATCAGAAGCTTCTAACGCCATGACATCATTTTCTGGAATTTTCCAAGCTGTTTAAAGGCACAGTCAACTTAGTGTATGTAAACTTCTGACCCACTGGAATGGTGATACAGTGAATTATAAGTGAAATAATCTGTCTGTAAACAATTGTTGGAAAAATGACTTGTGTCATACACAAAGTAGATGTCCTAATCGACTTGCCAAAACTATAGTTTGTTAACAAGAAATTTGTGGAGTGGTTGAAAAACAAGTTAATGACTCCAACCTAAGTGTATGTAAATAAATATATATACACACACACATATATATATATATATATATAACGTGTGTGTGTGTACCACCCACCTGATGGTAGTGCCCTGTAGCAGGTCTATCTTCTTGTTGAGCTCAGCGATGATGCTGTGTAGCTCTGTGATCCTCTCCTCGTATCGTAGGGTAGTCCGCTCCTGAACGTCCTCATGCTCCCGCATCAGATAGGACTGCTCACACTGACAAAACACACATTATAAATATGTTATGTCTCAACTCAAGACCATGTTATCCCACTGAGCTAAAGCCTTAATATCTGAACAGCATCCTATTCTACTATTTGCGCATTTTTGAAAGGCGATTCTCTGTTGGGTTGCAAGGTTGGTTGTCTCTGGCACGCATGCGCACACGCACACACACACACACAACACACAAACAGCTACCATTGTGTGTGAGGTCTAAGGGCTTTTCTAGGGATTGTCTACATGGAGCCCAGAGGTTGGGAGAGAGAGAAATGTATGAGCTTTCCCCTCAGCTATATTACAAGTGGAGGATGAGAAGAGGTGAGTGAGTGAGAGAGATAGAGATCAGGCTTGAGCGTGTGTGTGTGTTATACTATGCTTCCTGGAGTGACCTTAGCAGATCGGTATGTTTTTCTGGCCTGTGTCGGAGGTTGAACATGAAAATGAAACAAACAGAGGGGTCTGCCTAGTGCTTTACACAATGGAACATGAATCAATCACTAACATTACTACAAGCTATCCCCTACAACTACTATGGACTTACTCACAATAGTTTGGCGTTATGACAATAATTCCTGTGTTTATGAGTACAGAAATCACACTGCCAAATGAATGTGACAAATATCATAGAATTGCATGATGTTGATAGAAAAACCATAAACCTCTGTCATGCGGAACATTGAGTCGTATGGAATATAGCTGGAAAGATAAATTGAAAACTATCGACACTGACCATACCGATCACTTATCGCAGGCATTTTTCTGACATTGTTCATTACAATAAGTAGCCTACAGCAGAGAAATGTGAAGGTTGAAATGAAATAAGTTTGCTAATATGCGTGATCGTTAATGGGACAATTGATGGCTACAACAATCAAACTAGTAGTAGTAGTTTAAAGGATCATTTTAAAGAACGGTGGTGCACAATAATTATCTTTCTATTTATCGTTATCACATCAACTCAGACAATTTGTTGCGATATGGATTTTTGTCCATATCTCCCAGCTCTAGTGTGGAATCTTTCTATCTGCGACCTTCTAAACGTTGCGCCCCATTGAATAGGTCTAAGCCCCAGGTTTCTGAGAGTAGGATTCAAAGGTCAATAGGTCAGAAGCTTGGGGAGTCAGGGGTGTACGTCAACATAAACAAAAACGTCTGTGTATAAAAGGTTGGGGGTTCAGGTGACGAGGTATGTGCCTCAGGCTGACACAGCCATCAAAGTCCCCACGCTGAGACAAAGCCCCAATGTGTGTGTGTGTGTGTGTGTGTGTGTGTGTGTGTGTGTGTGTGTGTGTGTGTGTGTTATCCTGGGTTGAGTCAGGAGACCTCCAGTCAAATGGCCAGCAGTGACAATTAAACTAGCTGAGCGGCTTTAGCTCCCTACCCCATGGAGAGCTGCAGGGACAAAGAGCAGCTTTCACTCAGCCATTATCAGGTCACACAGTGTGACTTGTGTCACCAACTGTCATAACACCCGTCCACTGATGCCCAGAGACACAACAGTCACTGATAGGAAGTGGCATGTGGTTTATGGCAGGGCCAAAACATATTTTCAAAGCAGTTTGGCTCTGACTTTCATAGGCAACAAACTTCTACAAGGGCCAAAGGCTTGGTCTGTCTATCCTCAATCAGAAGTACATTTTGAGGTGAAAAGCCCATCAAAAGTCTGAAATTATTTTTGTGAGTGGGGAGTTCTGAACAAATGGTTACCCCAATACAATGGTCAAATGAAAAATCATCCACTTCAGGAAAACAAGCTATTTTTGAGCCAAACATCCTGCTTATAATTCTAGGCACCACATCTCCGTGTCACGTTCGTTCATAGACGGGTCAGACCAAGGCGCAGCGTGATATGCATACATGTTTATTATACCGAATAAACACAATGACAAAACAACAAAGTCCAAGGTAGACCCAAACAACATACCTTCCACGGAACAAGATCCCACAACTTACTAGTGCCAAAAGGCTGCCTAAGTATGGTCCCCAATCAGAGACAACGAGCAACAGCTGCCTCTGATTGGGAACCACACCGGCCAACATAGATATAGACCTACTAGACTTTAAACATAGATCTACACCACATAGAACATACACACCCTGACTCAACAAATAAGAGTCCCCAGAGTCAGGGCGTGACAGTACCCCCCCCCCCCCCAAAAGGTGCGGACTCCGACCACACAACCTTTACTTAACAGGGTAGGGGCCGGGTGGGCATTCCGCCTCGGAGGCGGATCCGGCTCCGGGCGTGACAAACACCTATTCTCCGCCTCCCTGTTGCGCCCCTGGTCTGGTCTGGACCTCGGCGCGCTGCTTCCCCTCTCCTTCCTCCCACTATACTCCAAGCCCTGTCTGGACCCTGGTGTGGGAGACCCCGAACCTGGAGAGGGGCTGACGTCTGGGTCTGGACTGGAGCCGCTGACCGGAGCTGGACCGGGCACCGGACTAATCAGGCTCTGGACTGGAGCCGCTGACCGGATCTGGACTTGACCCCGGTGGAGCGGACTGCTCTGGCTCCGGAGTGGCGCAGCTGACCGGAGCTGGATCAGGCACCGGTGGAGCGGACTGCTCTGGCTCCGGAGTGGAGAAGCTGAACGGAGCTGGATCAGGCACCGGTGGAGCGGACTGCTCTGGCTCCGGAGTGGAGCAGCTGACCGGAGCTGGATCAGGCACCGGCGGAGCGGACTGCTCTGGCTCCGGAGTGGAACAGCTGACCGGAACTGGATCAGGCACCGGTGGAGCGGACTGCTCTGGCTCCGGAGTGGAGCAGCTGACTGGTGCCGGACCAGGCACCGGTGGAACGGGCACGGGCCGTGCCGGACTGGACAAACGCACCACTGGTCTGGTGCGAGGAGCAGGCACGGGCCGGACCGGACTGGCGACGCGCACCACTGGTTTGGTGCGAGGAGCAGGAACAGGTCGGGCCGGGCTGGCGACGCGCACCACTGGCTTGGTGCGAGGAGCAGACACGGGCCGGGCAGGCGACGCGCACCACCGGCTTGGTGCGAGGAACAGGCCGGGCCGGGCTGGCGACGCGCACCACTGGCTTGGTGCGAGGAGCAGGAACAGGCCGGGCCGGGCTGGCGACGCGCACCACTGGCTTGGTGCGAGGAGCAGGAACGGGTCGGGCCGTACTGGGAACACGCACCACTGCCTTAGTGCGGGGAGCAGGCCGGACTGGACTGGCGACACGCACCACTTGCTTGGTGCGAGGAGCGGGACTGGGTTCCTTTATTAACCCCCGCTCCTTCTGCTATCTAACCAGCTCCTCTCGCCGTGCCTCTACACTTTCCTTCTCCCTTTTAGCCTCCTGTAGCGCCTCACTCTGACCGAATAACTCCTGCTCCCTCTGAACCAATAGCCCCCGTAACATGGTGGCCTCCTCTCCTAACCTGCAGTTTCGCCCTTCCACGGCCTCCTGCTGCCTCGTCATCCACCCCGTGTGCCCCCCCCAAAAAATTTTCTTGGGGTTGCCTCTCGGGTCTCCTTCGTCGGCACGGTTGGCGCCGTTTCTCCTCTCCTACCTGGGCATCAACCTTCATCGCCTCCCGATAACGGACGGCCTCCTCCTCAGTAATTATCCCCCAACCGAGGAGGACATCTACTAAAGTTACCTCCCGTTGAATCCTCGGCGTTTGCTCCTTGTGGGCACGCTGCTTGGCATTAGGTGTGGTGGGATCTTCTGTCACGTTCGTTCATAGACGGGTCAGACCAAAGGCGCAGCGTGATATGCATACATGTTTATTATACCGAATAAACACAACGACAAAACAACAAACTAAACGAAACGTGAAGTCCAAGGTAGACCCAAACAACATACCTTACACGGAACAAGATCCCACAACTTACTAGTGCCAAAAGGCTGCCTAAGTATGGTCCCCAATCAGAGACAACAAGCGACAGCTGACACTCTGTTGCATAAACTTTTTTGATTGAAACCTGAGAGGGTTCAAATGTCAAGAGTGGGCACATTTTGATGACATCATACAACGGGTTTTACTTCATATACAGGCTCCATAGCAACTGCCGGTACTTTGTCTGAGTTAGGAGACCTCATTGACTTGTGTAGATACTAACTGACTTATAAGGATTCCAGTCATTACTCTCTATGCAGACACTAACAGAATGAGATGTGTAGATAGTTTGTATCATAGAAAAGACACTGGAAAGTGCAAAGGGGAGACAAATGTTTCAATTGTCTGCCAGTGCTGATATAGGCCTAGTGCTTTCTGTAGAATCTTGGTATGATGACATCACTGTCTAATCGATCAGTGGTCTTGTAGTCTCTCTACAATTACCAATGTCAGCCAGACTGGTTTCATTCTATTCACTCCTCTCCAAACACAATGGCATCCAGTGCAAGTACAGTTCAAGCTTCTTCTTTAACACATGACCTATCCCTCTTCATCTACCGCCAGCGGAACAGGTGGGAAACCAACAAACCAAATAGCTTCTAGCATCAATATTTAACACAAATTACAGTACTATATTGCCTTTTGTTTACAACCATGGCCACTAGGGAAATACCTATAGTCGATGTAGGTGCCAGCAGAGGTATTCCACAGCTCTTTGACCCAGTGCTGTGTCTGTTTGTAGTGGTCCAGGGAGACACACGCGCACCCACACAGTGGTGGCCCAAGGAGACAGACTGAGTCTAACAGCCTGAGGGAGATGCTTCAGAAGGCCATGTCTGAATAAAATTCCCCAGTCAGGCCGAGGCATTTATAGAACAGGTATTCACACAATCTGTCTCGCTATTACACTCATTCCATTAGACAAACACAAATGTTAGCACACCCATTCATTCTCTCCATTAGCAAGCATTCTCATCTCCTATCTCGCGCACACGCACACACACACACACACACACACACACACACACACACACACACACACACACACACACACACACACACACACACACACACACACACACACACACACACACACACACACACACACACACACACACACACACACACACACACACACACACACACACACACACCACACACACACACACACACACACACACACACACACACCACACACACCACACACACACACACACACACACACACCACACACACACACACACACACACACACACACACACACACAAAAACTCCCTCCTAGGAGAGAGCCAGTGTCAATCACTGGGAATGGGAAAACTACAAAGCAGATCGAAGCTGAGCAGCTGGCATGGTTACTGAGGCTTCCTGGTTCCAGTGACATATGGGGTGTATTTCTTCATGCCAAATCCTCCCCAAATCAATTTCCTCTTTATTTAAAAAGCAAAGCTTCCATTCTCTCATCACTGTATGGGAGCAGGGATCCAGAGAGCCGGAATGAAATCCTCCTCCTCTAATAAACACGCAAGGTCACAACATTACACTGGAAACAATGTAAATGACACGATACTATGAGCAATGTTATGGGAAGTTGATACCCGACTTCTGAAAAGAAAGCTGTTCCTTTCGAGCGCATGCTAGATAGTAACGACCAAAAGATGATCTCTGTGATGATGTCATCAGCATGCTGCATCTCTTCTCAGAAGAGTAACTACTCTGATTGGAGCATATGGACTGGTAGTTTTCGGGGAGGAGGGGGGAGTGGAGATTTCCGGACACATTCCAATAAGTGAGCCATACAATTCAGTGCCTGTGTGCCGTGTCAGCTATTCCCAGATATTCTTCAAAAAACGTACATCAAAATAATCTCACTTATGTGAAGCCAGTTCAATTCCATCCCAGCTTTTTACTGTAGTTCTTTAACAGCCATCAGAGCAGTTTAGGTTATTATTCAAATATAAAAATCCTACAAAAGGAACATTTGCATACCAGAGAGGTCTTAACCACAGGCGCAGAAAAGAGGAAGGGGAAAGAGGAACCATTTACACAGTGTTTCTCAAATGATGGGTCATGATCAGAGATCCATTGCAGCTGGCTTATGGACAGAAATATTATAAAAATTTGTAAGGCTTTAGATTGGGTGGTGGTGGTACCCACAGCATTACAGCAATGTTCTTCGCATGGGACTTTGAATGGTAAGCTTATGTGAAGGTAAAAGGTGAGTTTACAATACAAATGAAGAATATGAATCTATGTGAATATACTGTATGTACGTCTATGGTCCGGTAGAGTACCTGTGCTTTGGCCAGTCTCTTCTCCAGCAGCTCTCTTTCTCTCTCCGTCTCCACCAGCCGCTTGTTCAGCTCCACCACGTCCCCCTTACACGAGGCCAGGGCTGTCAGCTGGAGCTACAGAGAATGGGGAGAGGGTTAGAACCATAAACACACACATTCATGCATGGACCCATATATACACACACACATACATACATGCATACATACATATACAGTTGAAGTCGGAAGTTTACATACACCTTAGCCAAATATATTTATACTCAGTTTTTCACAATTCCTGACATTTAATCCCAGTAAAAATTCCCTGTCTTAGGTCAGTTAGGATCACCACTTTATTTTAAGAATGTGAAATGTCAGAATAATAGTAGAGAGAATTATTTCTTTCAGCTTTTATTTCTTTCATCACATTCCCAGTGGGTCAGAAGTTTACATACACTCAAATTAGTTTTTGGTAGCATTGCCTTTAAATTGTTTAACTTGGGTCAAACGTTTTGGGAGCCTTCCACAAGCTTCCCACAATAAATTGGGTGAATTTTGGCCCATTCCTCCTGACAGAGCTGGTGCAACGGAGTCAGGTTTGTAGGCCTCCTTGCTCGCACACGACTTTTCAGTTCTGCCCACAAATGTTCTATAGGAATGAGGTCAGGGCTTTGTGATGGCCACTCCAATACCTTGACTTGGTTGTCCTTAAGCCATTTTGCCACAACTTAGGAAGTATGCTTGGGGTCATTGTCCATTTGGAAGACCCATTTGCGACCAAGCTTTAACTTCCTGACTGATGTCTTGAGATGTTGCTTCCACATAATTTTCCTTCCTCATGAAAGCCATGACGTCATTTTCTGGAATTTTCTAACTGTTTAAAGTCACTTAGTCAACTTAGTTTATGTAAACTTCTGACCCACTGGAATTGTGATACAGTGAATTATAAGTTAAATAATCTGTCTGTAAACAACTGTTGGAAAAATTACTTGTGTCATGCACAAAGTAGATGTCCGAACCGACTTGCCAAAACGATAGTTTGTTAACAAGAAATGTGTGGAGTGGTTGAAAAATGAGTTTTAATGACTCCAACCTTAGTGTATGTAAACTTCCGACTTCAACTGTACTAGATTACAACAGATACAGAGAGTACAAAGAACACACACTCCTTGCTCTCATACACACAGTCCCGACCTCCACACTCTCCAGGGAAGGGTTTAAGCCCTGAAACAGAACAGAGAGAGCGCTAACACTTTAGCATTTGGAACATGCAGTCTTTCACTTGGGTGGGCCGAGGTGTCAATCAAATCAAATGTTATTTGTCACATGCGCCGAATACAACAGGTGTAGACAGTGAAATGTACATGTGGGTAGTTAACGCACACACAAGCCCGTTCAGCTGTCTGAGGGCTCACACATTTCATACACACACACTCCTCTATTCAGTTAGCCTGCTCACAGTCATTCTTTAAGCTGTATGCATTTCTAATGCCAAAAATCGACTTAGGCCAACATTTTCCATGGAAAAATATGACCCAGCTTTTTAAATCGTAGATTAAGACTGACACAATAAACTAAAAAACTGCAGTCATGCTTTCTCATATCGAGGAGAAAGTCTCACACAAAATATATGCCCAGGGGCATTTGAAAACTCTTGATTTTGCAACTGCACTTGAAGAAACATTCAAAGTTCTTTAAAGTTTCTGTATTGATTGACCTTCATGTCTTAAAATAATGATGGACTGTCGTTTCTCTTTGCTTATTTGAGCTGTTCTTGCCATAATATGGACTTGTTCTTTTACCAAATAGGGCTTTCTTCCGGTGCAGCTCAGTTTTCACCTCATTTTGTGGGTAGTGTGCACATAGCCTGTCTTCTCTTGAGAGCCAGGTCTGCCTACGGTGACCTTTCTCAATAGCAAGGCTATGCTCACTGAGTCTGTACATAGTCAAAGTTTTCCTTAATTTTGTTCAGTCACAGTAGTCAGGTATTCTGCCACTTTTTTTCTTGTGACGAGTACTGAGGATACGAAGAGGCAGGACGCAGAAATCAACAATGTAAAGGTTTACTTAACACTGAGCAAGAGAACAACAAGGAGCGAGTACACGACAAGACACTAACAATCACACACAACACAACACTGAACAGTCCAGGGCTATATAGGGGTGGTGATGAGATGATGAGGTGCAGGTGCGCTGGAGGTGATTAGGGTGTGTTGGGTTTCTTTTCCGGTGTTGCCGAGGTGGTGCGCTCAGACCGGTGGCTCAGTAGACCGGCGAATCAGAGCGCCGGAGGGAAGCATGATTTGGTTGGGTCTAATTGTGTTGCTGTCCTGGGGCTCTGTGTTTGTGAACAGAGCCCCAGCACCAGCTTGCTTAGGGGACTCTTCTCCAGGTTCATCTCTCTGTAGCTGATGGCTCTGTTATTGAAGGTTTGGGAATTGCTTCCTTTTAGGTGGTTGTAGAATTTAACGGCTCTTTTCTGGATTTTGATAATTAGCGGGTATCGGCCTAATTCTGCTCTGCATGCATTATTTGGTGTTTTATGTTGTACACAGAGGATATTTTTGCAGAATTCTGCATGCAGAGTCTCAATTTGATGTTTGTCCCATTTTGTGAATTTTTGGTTGGTGAGCGTACCCCAGACCTCACAATCATAAAGGGCAATGGGTTCTATAACTGATTCAAGTATTTTTAGACAGATCCTAATTGGTACGTAAAATGTTATGTTCCTTTTGAATGACGTAGAAGGCCCTTCTTGCCTTCTCTCAGATCGTTCACAGCTTTGTAGCTTTCACGTGCCGTATAGTTTTTTGTGTGCCCTAAGGCAACGGTGTCTAGATGGAATTTGTATGTGGTCCTGGCAACTGGACATTTTTTGGGACACCATTATTTTTGTCTTACTGAGATTTACTGTCAGGACCGAGATCTGACAGAATCTGTGCAAAAGATCTAGGTGCTGCTGTAGGCCCTGCTTGGTTGGGGACAGAAGCACCAGATCATCAGCAAACAGAAGACATTTGACTTCAGATTATAGTAGGATGAGGCAGAGTGCTGCAGACTGTTCTAGTGCCCTAGCCAATTCGTTGATATATACAGTGCATTCGGAAAGTATTCAGACCCCTTGACTTTTCCACATTTTATGTTACAGCCTTATTGTAAAATGTATTACATTATTTTTTTCCCCTCATCAATCTACACACAACACCCCATAATGACAAAGCGAAAACAGGTTTTTAGAAAATTTGGCAAATCTATTCAAAATAAAAAACAGAAATACCTTATTTAAATAAGTATTCAGACCCTTTGCTATGAGACTCGAAATTGAGCTCAGGTGCATCCGTTTCCATTGATCATCCTTGAGATGTTTCTACAACTTGATTGGAGTCCACCTGTGGTGAATTCAATTGTTTGGACATGATTTGGAAAGGCACACACCTATCTATATAAAGGTCCCAAAGCTGACAGTGTACACTACCAGTCAAACGTTTGGACACACCTACTCATTCAAGGGATTTTCTTTATTTTTACTATGTTTTACATTGTAGAATAATAGTGAAGACATCAACACTCTGAAATAACACATATGGAATCATGTAGTAACCAAAAAAGTGTTAAACAAATAGCCACCCTTTGCCTTGATGACAGCTTTGCACACTCTTGGCATTCTCTCAACCAGCTTCATGGAGGTAATCACCTGGAATAGCATTTCAATTAACAGGTGTGCCTTCTTAAAAATTTAATTTGTGGAATATCTTTCCTTCTTCATGTGTTTGACCCAATCAGTTGTGTTGTGGCAAGGTAGGGGGAGTACACAGAAGATGGTCTTTTACCAAATAGGGCTAAGTCCATATTATGGCAAGAACAGCTCAAATAAGCAAAAAGAAACAACAGTCCATCATTGCTTTAAGACATCAAGGTCATATGGAAAATGTCAAGAACTTTGAAAGTTTCTTCAAGTGCAGTCGCAAAAAACATCTAGCGCTATGATGAAACTGGCTCTCATGAGGACCGCCACAGGAATGGAAGACCTGAAATAGCTGTGCAGCTAAATAACTTCTTAAAATTAAGCACATTAAACCGCTTTACAAGGGGTTTAGAGGCTAACTGGCATACATAAGCAGCGCGTGAGTTTCAAGTTTGGCATTACATGCATAATCGCATTTGCGGTCACTTTTGATAATGGTGTTTTCCCGCTAATGGAACATTCACGCTTATAGCCTACTGCCATGTGTGCATTGCTGCGCTTATAATGTGAAGAAATAGCCTAATAGTTTATAAACATTTAAGCTAAATGTTCTGATCTGTTGCGTCAGCCACATTGCGTAAAAAATGTTTTTTGACGCTAGTGGTTGTATTCATTTGGGATCTATTGCATCCCACAACTGTCCCAGACTATGTTTGGAATATTTATTTCTCGCACAGAATAGGTCGACTTTTGTTCAATGGGGGATAGGAGATTGACATAGGCTAGTGCTTTTGCTGTTCGTTAGGTCTACTCATCTTGTTGGCTGATGAAAAGTAAATGTGGACAGTTCTTCCAATATCTACAATATGCACCTCGGAATTGGATAAGGACGCGCGCAGTTGCGTCCCCGATGTGTTGGACTTCACTTGTAGCCTGTGAGAAAGACCCGATCACGTGATGGAGAGCCGTGTGAGTGAGAGGTGCTTAGGAGTGTGCAGCACTCAGGGAGAAGGGCACAACGGCCACAAAAGGCATGGATTTTATTAGGGTACATTACGGCCACAAAGGGGATGCCGCCGTGAAATTCGAGGCATTATCAAGTGCTTGTCAAATTGTGAATGAGAGACTAATGAAGTGTGTACAGCCTGCGCAAAAAACAAAGCAGAGCTCATGTCTTTCAAGCAACTTTTTTAAAATCATAATTAGAGTCGCATCATGCAGCCTTACAATGTATTAAAAATCTAAACATATAGCCCAACGTTTGTACAACAACTAAAGTTACATTAATAACTCAAATTAAGCATATAAGAGTACCTATCTCTTTGTTAACCGCTCAACACAGAATAGCCGCATGTGCGCACTCCCTCAAATCGTTTGGAGAAAATATTTATATTTATATTACTTTGTTCAATTGTATTCTTCATCCTATAAAATAATGCCACGGAATTCTAAGCAAATCTTGTCTGCTAAATGAACTAGTGTAGCCCACAGCCATTTGGCATAGCCAGATCAGGACCTAACATAAGGACAACTCCGAGTATGCTATTCTGTTCTTCTGAAATAGACTAAATTTTTTTCATATCATGCTTCTTTAGACCTGTCTAAAATAAATAATGGATTTATTGTGAAGGTGTAAGCTATATTACATGGATTTATTAGACTTTTTTTTTATGTAGATGTTCCAAAACGTCTGCATCAGTGGCTTATAGGCCAGAAGATGCTAAATGTGTTTATGTTAATTAATGGTAAATTACCGTGAGACCGACAGTTATTTGCTTGACAATCACCGGCTGACGAAATTTTGTTTCCGCCACAGCCCTACTTATGTAAATGTAATATTTCCGTTTTTAGATTTGTAATACATTTGCAAAAATGTCAAAAAACCTATTTTTGCTTTGTCATTATGGGTTATTGTGTGTAGATTGATGAGGGGGGAAAACTATTGAGAAATGTGTGTTTTTGCCAATTTTATCCGCACACTTGTTGTTTGTGTACATGGATTTTATAATGTCGTATGTTTTTCCCCCAACACCGCTTTCCGTCAATTTGTATAGCAGACTCTCATGCCAAATTGAGTCAAAAGCTTTTTTGAAATCAACAAAGCATGACAAGACTTTGCCTTTGTCTCTACATCTCTCTCTCTCTTCTCCTAGCCATTTCCTAGCCATTTCAGCTTCCAGGGGCAAGTTCTCTCATGGGAAAAATAATAGAGCCCCATGATGCACTTCCATTATCTATTTTGAGTGGGTGGGAGGGAATGGGGATGGGAGGGACGGAGAAGGGATGGAGGGGGGTTCTACAGATGCCACTCCCGGGAATCCAGAGGTGTCCTTTTCAGATGGAGGGCAATCCTCTAACATCTCCATCTGTGCCACTTGGCGTGTCCATGTCAACCTTACACACCATCCTTTAAATAGCCTAAAGCATGACTCAAAGCATGACCCTTTCAGTCTATTAGAACTTCCCAGCAAGATGCATGGTAGAGATACATTATCAATACTGGACAATGGAAATGTCATATCTAGCCTAAACTAGCAATTAAATGCAAGACTATGTGCTATATATCAGGTATCTGAATTGAGTCATCTGAAAGCTACGTACTCATTGACCTTAAAGGTTGTCCCCAATCTGTGTCTGTGAGCTATTAACTGAAGATAAAGGTCTGGTTGCCTCTGTCACCATTGTAAAAATGAGAAGACCTACAGTACAGGGGATTTTGTACTCTAGGGCCTACGGCTTTTGACTGAAACCTCAAGGTAAACCCAAGCTATACAAGTCAAACACTATGGTAGTGAGTAGGATGTTTGTACTGTGTACACTGTACCAAGAGTAGAAATATGTACTAATAAGGGCAACATTGTACATTAGCCATCATTAAGGCAGAATGAAGCCAGTACAAGCTTTATCCAGCCTAGCTATGCAGCCTATTTATCTCATAGCTACCCTTCCTCAGGCCAGAGGAAAAACCGTCAACCAACGGAACAATGAATTGCCCTCTCAGGGTGCGCAAAAAGACGCTCCAACAGAGGCTGGAAGCAATCTCTCTCACCTCGCCACCTGGCACCAAAGATAGTTTGGTGCGTCACATGTGGAGGGAAGTCGACGTGATTAATTGATCTAATTTGTGTTATGGCCAGAAAAACGAGACAAATGGATCACACGGGAACTCTTCAATGCTAAGGCTAATTTAATACATTAGAGCCAGGCCTTGTGTTATACATTTTCTTTTGCCAAAGCTGCAGCATTCCGCAGAGTTCTTTTCAGGGCAAGTGGAAAAACGTGGTCTTGCCGGCTGCTGGCAAAATGCTAATGCTGAAGCTTTTCTGTATTGAGATTCACTGCTCTCCTGATTGTACTCAGATATAGGGTCAGTTTTCCCATTGACAATCACAGCCTTAACAGTTAGGACCAGGGGTTTCAAACATGCAGTTCGAAAGTCATTTATGCCCCCACTTATGCTCCCAATTGAATTGGGATAGAACAATTCATTCAACAGCACCTAGTGCATTATACATTACAGACTGACCCGGTGAAAGCTATGATCCCTTATTGATGTCATTTGTTAAATCCACTTCAAATCAGTGTAGATGAAGGGGAGGAGGTTAAATAATGATTTTAAGCCTTGAGACATTCAGAGGGTCAATGGGCAAGACAAGATTTAAGTGTCTTTGAACGGAGTATGGTAGTAGGTGCCAGGCGCACCTGTTTGTGTCAAGAACTGCAACGCTGCTGGGTTTTTCACACTCAACAGTTTCCCGTGTGTATCAAGAATGGTCCACCACCCAAAGGACATCCAGCCAACTTGACAACTGTGGGAAGCATTGGAGTCAACATGGGCCAGCATCCCTGTGGAACATTTTCAACACCTTGTAGAGTCCATGCCCCAACAAACTGAGGCTGTTCTGAGGGCAAAAGGGAAGGGTGCAACTCCATATTAGGACGGTGTTCCTATACGGTACATTCGAAAAGTATTCAGACCCCTTGACTTTTTCCACATTTTTTCCCCACATCAATCTACACACAATACCCCATAATGACAAAGCAAAAACAGGTTTTTAGAAATATTTGCACATTTATTAAAAATAAAAAACGGAAATATCACATTTACATAAGTATTCAGACCCTTTACTTAGTACTTTGTTGAAGCACCTTTGGCAGCGATTACAGCCCCAAGTCTTCTTTGGTATGACGCTACAAGCTTGGCACAGCTGTATTTGGGGAGTTTCTCCCATTCTTCTCTGCAGATCCTCTCAAGCTCTGTCAGGTGGGATAGGGAGCGATGCTGCACAGCTATTTTCAGGTCTCTCCAGAGATGTTCGATCGGGTTCAAGTCCGGGCTCTAGCTGGGCCACTCAAGCACATTCAGAGACCTGTCCCGAAGCCACTCCTGTGTTGTCTTGGCTGTGTGCTTAAGGTTGCTGTCCTGTTGGAAGGTGAACCTTCACCCCAGTCTGAGGTCCTGAGCGCTCTGGAGCAGGTTTTCATCAAGGATCTCTGTACTTTGCTCCGTTCACCTTTCCCCCGATCCTGGCTAGTCTCCCAGTCCCTGCCGCTGAAAAACATCCGCACAGCATGATTCTGCCACCACCATGCTTCACCTTAGGGATGGTGCCAGGTTTGCTCCAGACGTGACGCTTGGCATTCAGGCAAAAGAGTTCAATCTTGGTTTCATCAGACCAGAGAATCTTGTTTCTCATGGTCTGAGAGTCTTTAGGTGCCTTTTGGCAAACTCCAAGCAAGCTGTCATGTGCCTTTAACTGAGGAGTGGCTTCCGTCTGGCCACTCTACTATAAAGGCCTGATTGGTGGAGTGCTGCAGAGATGGTTGTCCTTCTGGAAGGTTCTCCCATCTCCACAGAGGAACTCTAGAGCTCTGTCAGAGTGACCATCGGGTTCTTGGTCACCTCCTGACCAAGGCCCTTCTCCCCAGATTGCTCAGTTTGGCCGGGTGGCCAGCTCTAGGAAGAGTCTTGGTGATTCCAAACTTCTTCCATTTAAGAATGATGGAGGCCACTGTGTTCTTAAAGACCTTCAATGCTGCAGAAATGTTTTGGTACCCTTCCCCAGATCTGTGCCTCGATACAGTCCTGTCTCGGAGCTCTACGTACAATTCCTTCGACCTCATGGCTTGGTTTTTACTCTGACATGCACAGTCAACTGTGAGACCTTCATATAGACAGGTGTGTGTGCGCGCCTTTCCAAATCATGTCCAATCAATTGAATTTACCACAGGTGGACTCCAAGTTGTAGAAACATCTCAAGGATGATCAATGGAAACAGGATGCACCTGAGCTCAATTTAGAATCTCATAGCAAAGTGTCTGTATACTTAAGTAAATAAGGTATGTTTTTTTCTGGTTTCTGTTTTTTATTTTTATGGTACATTTTCACTGTCATTATAGGGTATTGTGTGTAGACTGCTGAGGATTTTTTTTATTAATCCATTTTAGAATAAGGCTGTAACATAACAATGTGGAAAAAGTCAAGGGGTCTGAATACTTTCCGAAGGCACTGTAATGTTTGGTATACTCAGTTTAGGTAAACTGTGGTGTAGGGTTGCAAAATTCCAGGAAGAATTGTTTTGTTTTTCCCCAGTATATGGCCTCCTGACAACTGCCTTTATAGGCATGGGCCCTTAGTCAAATTAACTTAACTTTAAATGCAGAGGGGTGTCTAGTAGGTTAACATACATCTGCAACCCTGTGCATGTGACTAAATACAAATCTAATCTACAAAACCCTACCTGGGATCCAATGGCTTTGCTGAGGTATTTCTCATTATGGTATGCATCTGTTTGACATTCTGACAGCCTATATTCACAAACATCATATTTACTTTGATGAAATGTCCGGATGCCACATGGGAAGTGGCCTTCCCTCCTTTCGGCATTCTACCCATACGTCACTTGTCATTTCTCCGGGATTATAATTACCTTAAAAGCATTGGAATTTCCGGAGAAACCCACACACGCCACCCCTCCGACCCTCAATGCCCCCACCCCCATCTAGGCACACAGGACTCTCACAACGACATTGTTGTACTGTATCCCTAGGAATGCTTTGTATACGAACATACATTTTCAATAAATTGTTGCTTACCATGACAGCTAGGCTACATTTGCCGTGTTGGGAGTGGGATGGCATGACATCTCACATAGAAAAATAATGTATAGAGAAACTTTATGTTTGCACCACAGGTGACAGCATAAACACCAGGAATGGCTGTAGAGTGAATCCCTAAATGAGATTTGAAAGTGTAACATGGAGCCCAGGGAGAGCTAGCTCCATGCTGATACACACTAACAGACCCATTAGCTTATGAAAATGCTAACATGGCTACTCAAATATGGCTACTCAAATAGAGCCCCACAATGGAGGAGTCATAATACCCATAAAACCCAGCGGTAAAACCATGTAAATCTCTCTCGGACAAGGTGACTATTATTAATATATTCAGCTCTTTTTACTCTCAGATTCGAAAATGCTAATTAGCATTAAAGTAAACGTCATGCAAAACTACAAATCCCTGCAAGCTCCTGCACGTCATCTCTAGCTGACACATTTGCTAACATGTATTATATCATTTTAAAACTTGCACAAGACAGTTCACAGAGTTGTCCATTTAAATAAATGTAGCCAATTTATTCATTACTACATTTAACTAACATTAGATAGTTAATCCAGAGATTCTTACCTTTGCCTCGATTTGACAGCATCGTCCACATCATCATGACATTTGTAGTTTTTTATGATAGCCACATTAGCAGCTAATTAGATTTATATTTTTTTGGGGGGGGGTAAAAACAGGCAAATATATTGATAAAAGTCACCTTGTCCTAGAGAGATTTACACGGTTATCAAAACGTCACGCCAGGGTAAGCCTACACGAAACGCAGCCCTTATTTTAAGTGTTTAAAAATAAAAATGGGAAAAATGAATGGTTGAAAAATGATTGAACCATTTCCATGTTTGACCGCTAGGTTTTGTGTATTTTGACTCATACTGTGGTACTCTATAAACCAAAGTGGTGCCTGAGAAATACATACCAGTGAATAAGATGGGTACACAGTCACCTTGACCTTGTGGTGCAACCATAATGGAAAAAGCGTTGGGAGCACTTTTATATACACTACATGACCAAAAGTATGTGGACACTTGCTCGTCTAATATCTCATTCCAAAATCATGGGCATTAATATGGAGTTTGTCCCCACTTTGCTGCTATAATAGCCTCCACTCTTCTGGGAAAGCTTTCCACTAGATGTTGGACCATTCAGCCACAAGAGCATTATTGAGGTCGGCACGATGTTGGGCGATTAGGCCTGGCTCGCAGTCGGCGTTCCAATTCATCCCAAAGGTGTTCGATGGGGTTGAGGTCAGGGCTCTGTGCAGGCCAGTCAAGTTCTTCCACACCGATCTCAACAAAACATTTCTGTATGGACCTTCGTGCACGGGGGCATTGTCATGCTGAAACAGGAAAGGGCCTTCTCAAAACTGTTGCCACAAAGTTGGAAGCACAGAATCGTCTAGAATGTAATTTTATGCTGTAGCGTTAAGATTTCCCTTCACTGGAACTATGGGACCTACCCCGAACCATGAAAAACAGCCCCAGACCATTATTCCTCCTCCACCAAACTTTACAGTTGGCACCATGCATTCGGGCAGGTAGCGTTCTCCTGGTATCCGCCAAACCCAGATTTGTCAGACTGCCAGATGGTGAAGCGTGATTCCTCACTCCAGAGAACGCGTTTCCACTGCTCCCGAGACCAATGGCGGCGAGCTTTACACCACTCCAGCCGACGCTTGGCATTGCGCATGGTGATCTTAGGCTTGTGTGCGGCCACGGAAACCCATTTCATGATGGTCCCAACGAAAAGTTATTGTGGTGACGTTGCTTCCAGAGGCAGTTTGGAACTCGGTAGTGAGTGTTCCAAAACGAGGACAGACGATTTTTACACACTACACGCTTCAGCACTTGGCGGTCCCGCTCTGTGAGCTTGTGTGGCCTACCACTTCGCGGCTGAGCCGTTGTTGCTCCTAGACATTTCTGCTTCACAATAACAGCACTTACAGTTGACTGAGGCAGCTCTAGCAGGGCAGAAATTTGACGAACTGACTTGTTGGAAAGGTGGCACCTACGACGGTGCCTCATTGAAAGTCACTGAGCTCTTCAGTAAGGCCATTCTACTGCCAATGTTTGTCTATGGCGATTGCATGGCTGTGTGCTCGATTTTATACACCTGTCAGCAACGGTGTGGCTGAAGTAGTCAAAACCACTAATTTGAAGGGGTGTCCACATACTTTTGTATATATAGTGTAGCATATACAGGTAACAACCAAAATAAAGGAAACACCAACATAAAGTGTCTTAATAGGGCGTTAGGCCACCACGAGCCACCAGAACAGCTTCAATGTGCCTTGGCATAGATTCTACAAGTGTCTGGAACTTTATTGGAGGGATGCGACACCATTCTTCCACGAGAAATTCCATAATATGGTGTAATTTGTTGATGGTGGTGGAAAATGCTGTCTCAGGCGCCGCTCCAGAATCTCCCATGAGTGTTCAGTTGGGTTGAGATCTGGGGACTGAGACACACACCCACACACCCACCCACCCTTTAAACCCCCTATGCTCATTTGAGACCCCTCTTTCAAAGTCACTGAGATCTCTTCTTCTAGCCATGGTAGCCAAAATAATGGGCAACTGGGCATTTTTATACATGAACCCAAGCATGATGGGATGTTAATTGCTTAATTAACTCAGGATCCACACCTGTGTGGAAGCACCTGCTTTCAATATACTTTGTATCCCTCATTTACTCAAATATTTCCTTTATTTTGGCAGTTACATGTACACTGAGTGTACAAAACATGCTCTTTCCATGACAAAATGACCAGGTGAATCTAGGTGAATGCTATGCACGCATGACTAAGTCGCTTTGGATAAAAGCGTCTGCTAAATGGCATATTATATTATTATTATTATTATTGAGGTCACTTGTTAAATCCACTTCAAATCAGTCTAGATGAAGGGGAGGAGACAGGTTAAAGAAAGATGTTTAAGCCTTGAGACAATAGAGACATGGATTGTTTATGTATGCCATTCAGAGGGTGAATGGGCAAGACAAAAGATTGAAGTGCCTTTGAACGGGGTATGGTAATAGGTGCCAGGCGCACTGGTTTGAGTGTGTCAAGAACTGTTTCCCATGTGTATCAAGAATGGTCCACCACCCAAGACATCCAGCCAACTTGACACAACTGTGGGAAGCATTGAGTCAACATGGGCCCACATCCCTGTGGAACGCTTTCGACACCTTGTAGAGTCCATGCCGCGACAAATTGAGGCTGTTCTGAGGGTAAAAGAGGTTGCAACTAAATATTAGGAAGCTGGTCCTAATGTTTTTTACACTCAGTGTATATTTGGATATTAAAATACACAATAATGCCAATATTTGTGGTATTTCAGAAATGTGTTTGCTGTCCGATGTATCTATACTCTATTATTCAAAAGCCTTGTTGACAGGTTAATTCATGAATTATAGCATTATTGTTTTACAGAAATAGCAAACACAGATAAACGCTTTTAGAAGTATTGTCCTTTTATGAAGGATAACCTCTGAAGGGGGATAAGGAAGGAATCGGTGACATCCTACAGGATAAATCTGGTGCACAACCAATAACAGGCCATGTCCTAGGGACAAAGACAGAGACAGGAAATAATCATCTTCATTACCATTCACACAAAGCCCTCCTCATTTAGCCTGTATAATAGGAAACAAAATCCAGCTTGTGTAGCTTAACGGTGCCGTAAAATAGAATGATCACTGCAGCGGTTATTAGACGACTGAGCTTAACAAAAAAAAACGCTTCCATTAAAAACATGAAAGAAAAACATTTGTTCGACAAAGTACGGCAATAAAACAACTGATGGGCTGAATAAATGAAAACCAAGGTAGACTGGTCAAGAAAACAAAGTATGTCTACGAAACCTCTTTAAGGGAAACACTCAACCTAACCTAACGCACCACCACTTGTAAGAGACAAGGCAAACGAAACGTGCTTCTTGGATCTGACGGAATGTTTTTCTTTTTATGACATTCCCCTACTATCAAACTCCAGCTCCCACCCGAAAATGTTTTCACCTCCACCCACTGTCACCCCTCTGAGCGTCTGTGCCCCCTCCCTACATACACCTGCAGGCTCCTCAGCCGTGATTACCCACATGGTTGGCTGACAGGCATGAACAAACTCACCTTTCATCAACACACACAGCCAGCTGTGGAGAAGCCTCATGCAGCCCTCCTCTCCCTCTCACCCTTTCCTGGCCTCTCTTCCCAAATCCTCTTGTTTGTTTCTCTTCTCTAAAGAGGGCCTCCCCTCAGTCTTCTCATTTGCGTTGCTGCTCAATCTTCTCTTCTCTGAAACTACTCTTTACCAGTCTTCCCTCCTTTCCACGCTTTGCTCCTCTGTCTCTACTTACTTCCTAAGTCTCGCCTCATCCTCTTCTCTTGTCAAAGTCTCTTTGTTCCCCTCCTCTCTTTGCTCCTCTTTTCTCCTTACCGGTGCTCCCCCTCTCCCCCTGACCAAGGCGCTCTGTGTGTGTTTCTCCTCCAGGCTGTAGCTCGTCTTCATCTCCTGCTCAGAGGTAACACACGGTCCGCCCAGCATGCCATTATGTTTCCACCAACAGAACTACACTACCACTGGAGAACAATAGCCTCAGGGTTCACCCTCCTAAAACTACAATATAAGCGCTCTCCCTGTGGTGGAGTTCTGTCCTCTGTGGAGGCTTTACTGTGTGAGTTCCCCCTGAAACAAGGAGCTGCTCTGCTCTCCTCTATGTGTTTTTTCCCCTTTTGTTGTTAGCGTCGCCCTTTCCTTCCTGTCCTACTGGGGGGTGTTAGTCGCAGTGTTGGGGCCTTCGCTGTTAGTCAGTGCAGCTACCTGCTATTGTACTGAGCACTGGTCAGAAAACGAACGGTCCCTGGCGCTCTACAAGACTTCTAACCCCCTCCCTCCCTTCCCCTCCACAGAGCGAAGGCAACAAAAACTGAAACCTGACACACAGCGTGAAGACAGGAATGCGGAATCAGAGCTGGTGTGTGTGCGTGTGCATGCATGCGTGTGTGTGGATAAAGCGGTAGAGAGAGATTAGTGAAGTTGACAGGACAGGCTGTGTCCAGGGTGAAAGGTCAGGAGTGAGTGGCCATGACCTGGAACACCTACTGGACACAGCAGACACACAGTCTGGACAGAGACTGGTCCAAACACACCAAGACAGTCGTGAAGAGGGCACAACAAAGCCTATTCCCCCTCAGGAGACTGAAAAGATTTGGCATGGGTCCTCAGATCCTCAAAAAGTTATACAGCTGCACCATTGAGAGCATCCTGACTGGTTCCATCACCGCCTGGTATGGCAACTGCAATGCCTCCGACCACAAGGCACTACAGAGGGTAGTGCGTAAGGCCCAGTACATCACTGGGGCCAAGCTTCCTGCCATCCAGGACCTCTATACCAGGTGGTGTCAGATGAAGGCCCTAACAATTGTCAAAGACTCCAGCCACCCTAATCATAGACTGTTCTCTCTGCTACTGCATGGCAAGCGGTACCGGAGCGCCAAGTCTAGGTCCAAAAGGCTTCTTAACAGCGTCTACCCCCAAGCCATAAGACTCCTGAACAGCTAATCATGGCTACCCGGACTATTTGCATTGCCCCCCCACCCCACCCCAACCCCCTCTTTTACGCTGCTGCTACTCTTAATTATTTATGCATAGTCACTTTAACTCTACCCACATGTACATATTACCTCAATTACCTCGACTAACTGGTGTCCCCGCACATTGACTCTGTACCGGTACCCCCTGTATATAGCCTCCCTACTGTTATTTTACTGCTGCTCTTTAATTATTTGATTTTTTTCAACAACAAAAAATTACTTATCTATTTTTACTTAACATTTTTTTTCTTCTTAAAAAACTACATTGTTGGTTAAGGGCTTGTAAGTAAGCTTTTCACTTTAAGGTCTACACTTGTTGTATTTGGCAAATACAATTTGATTTGATATGGTTTGAGACCTCTTCCTGAGACCATATATTCCAGGAACTAGCAGTGAAGCCTCCACCTTGAAAACAAGTACTTCACTTCATCAATGTACATAAAGTGCTGAAACACTTATTCCTCCCACAACAAAACAACAAATACCTCAAGGTAATACTTTGCCTGCCCCCCCCCCCAGCAAAACCTCTCTCAGTGCAAAGTATACAAACAAAGTACTGCATTCCTCTCATGAGAAAACAACAAATAGCACAAGGAGACACTTACACATCCTGTTTCCCCTACTTTTACATAAAGTCTAGCAGTAGATTTATAACGGCATAATGTATGGCATATCCTCATTCTGCTAAAGGCCAATTAAGGCTAATATGAATAGTAGCCTTGTTGCCTGAACACTGTTAGATCTAACAGGGAAATTAGCTGTTGGTTCACACAAAGAGGGCAATGATCATTCAGATCTCTAGGGGAAAACACAGAGGTACTGTAAGTGTTCTGTGCTCATAGTCATACCAGAATATACCTGTATTTCAACATGATACACTGCAAAACAAAAGCCTCATTCATGTACAGACACTTGTCTGGAAACGCTGAAGACACAATCACACTAATGAAAAAACCAAGACAATGGACATCTTGACTGACTGTTTCAAAATGACAGCCTTCAAACCATAGATCGGTGGTGGACTAAAACTAATTTTAGTCCTGTCCGAATCTGCCATGTCAGCAATTTGTACATGGCAGGAGAGTAACAATTCCAGCCAGAATAACCTACAGCTTTTTGGCAAACTCCAAGGCCCTCTGATAATACTAGTCCCGTGCGAATCGACATCCCTGTGTTTTGAGAGAAATGTCTGAGTTTGACAGGTGTTGCTCACGGTTTGCGCAAGAAAACAATAACGGATTCGATAAATTGAACGAAGCGCTGCGCAAAGCCTATATATGAAGGGCCTACATGTATAAACTTTCACAGTGAATGCTTTTGTTCATATGTTTTGTGTGTATGACTTGATTATTGCCACATGCATCAGTAAACAATATTGCGCCTATTTAATGTAACCCTTGTTGTTAATAGATCGCAAAGCAGCATACAACTGACCTAAACGTTTGCAAATGATAAGTTCACTTTCGCATCCATAGCCTTAAAACGCATCAAGTGCACTGTTTAGCTCACATCTGAATGCATTTAGGACATCTACTGCGGATCACTAAAATATCCTAATGATTATGATCACACTTCCTCAATTCAAATATTATGGCGACACTGTACCAAAGATGGTTTGGTATGGTTAAGCAACTTGGGAACCAAGTTCGAGTTATCAGTTTAGCCCTGTTATCGCCTTAACTTGAAATATCTTCACGCATAGAAAAAAACCTCCAGGCTTCCGTCATAACTGTCAATTTATTGGAAAAAATGAAAGAATTACAGGGGGCAGTTTGGAAAAAAACGAAACCCGTCCGAATCTTCCTCTGGAATTAGGACATTCTGGGGTAATAATTACATAACCAACGTTCTCTAGTAATACTAGTCCCATGCAAATAGGGCTTAGCCTAATTGTCTAAGAAAATTGAGGAGAGAGCAAACCAACTTAATTAGGTCTATAATCAATAGCCTAGCTGTTAAATGTGCCTGGCTTTATAAATTACCCATATAAATGTATATCTACAGAAATAAGACCGATCTTGCTTCTGTTGCCTGTTTGAGTGTTTGTTTAATAGCCTACTGATACCGTGAGCACCAACCATCATGCAAACGGAAAAATGTCAGATAAAGCAATTTCACAGATTTGGCTGTTCTTTGCTACGCTGTAATAAAGGCTTTCCAATTTGTTTTCGTTAGAACAGACTTGTATTGCTTATAATTTATTTAGTGTTGTTTACACTGTTCCAAACAGGCAGAATTTTTTTTTGTAATCTAACAGCATCTGTTTGTCACACTTAATATGCACGCAGCTCTCGCTCCTATACCCTCCTTTTTATTGATCTTCTTATTGTTGTTATTACAATTACTATTATGATCATCATTATAATAATAAGTAACGTTGTTATCATTAGCAGCCTCGTATAACCACCATTGAGTTGTAGGCCTAAGAGCTCATCCCATTTAGTCTTAATACCGTAACTTACTTAGGCCTATATTTCAATATATAGGCTACTGTATCAATCAATCAACCATTCATTCATTCATTCATTCATGCCATCACACAGAATAAAAGACATTCATGCATTGAAATGCAATCAAGCATTTTAGTTTTTAAATTAAATAACAAAGGGAGCTTTGAATACCTAGCCTAAACAATAAATAAACCGCAATTCACGAATGCATGCAACTGTTTTTAGTCTGCTGTAATAAAGGGTTCTTTTTTTTTCTCATAAGAACAGACTCTCTGGTACACTTATTTATTTCAAAATCAAATCAAATTTTATTTGCCACATGTGCCTAATACAACAGGTGTAGACCTTACTCACTTACAAGCCCTTAACCAACAATGCAGTTAAGAAAAATAAGTGTTAAGTAAAAAATAAAAAATCATTAATAATAATAATAATAATAATAATAATAATAATAATAAGCCATTTAGCAGACACTTTTATCCAAAGCGACTTACAGTCATGCGTGCATAAATTTTTGTGTATGGGTGGTCCCGGGGATCGAACTCACTACCTTGGCGTTACAAGCGCCGTGCTCTACCAGCTGAGCTACAGAGGACCACTAAAGAGCAGCAGTAAATTAAAACAACAGTAGGGAGGCTATATACAGGGGGTAGCGGTACAGAGTCAATGTGCGGGGGCACAGGTTAGTCGAGGTAATTGCGGTAATATGTACATGTGGGTAGAGTTAAAGTGACTATGCATAGATAATAAATGGAGAGTAGCAGCAGCGTAAAAGAGGGGGTGGGGTGGACAATGCAAATAGTCCGGGTAGCCATGATTAGCTGTTCAGGAGTCTTATGGCTTGGGAGTAGAAGCTGTTAATAAGCCTTTTAGACCTAGACTTGGCGCTCTGGTACCGCTTGCCACTTTGTAGTCCGTAATCGTTTGCAAGCCCTGCCACATCCGATGTTTACACTGTTCCAAATGGTCAGAACAAATAATAATATTGTAATATAACAGCAACTGTTTGGCACACATAATACTCACGCAACGCTTGCTCCTATACCCTCCTTTTTCTTGATCTCCAGTAGTTTCCACAACTAAGTCAAATGTCTTCCACAGATCCGACTTCCCCTTTCCCTCCTGAGCAACCAGTAAATATTCTCCCATTTCGAGTTTCATTTTCACGTCCTCCGCATGCATTTGCTGTCATGTGTTACTGTGTTCGGAGTTTGTTAAAACCAATTTATTGATGTGATTATGATAGGCTATAGGTCAGGCCCTATTGGTCACATTAATACGATGCTTACAAGTTTCACGTAAAGAGAGCAAGGGTTGAGGGAATAGGGCCTGACCTATATTTCGATAACAGAACTTTTCAGTCAGAAACAAGTAAGAAACCAAATGGCTGAAATGATGTTGCAACTTCAGCACGGACAGCGCAATAACACTTGCAGTATGGAGTAGAGCGAGACAACGTGCTCCAGTCACACAGGCACTCACTGTTTTTTTAACACAGTGT